CAGACCAGCAAGGGATAGATAAATTGGTTAATAGTTTTAGGTATTTAGAAAATCATAATTAAATAAATTTATCAAGAAGGTGTTCATACCTTCTTTTTCATTAATTGAAATGCATATTGCATATCCCGCCACTGGGTAAATGGAATAATGTGGGACTCTCAGGGGCGTATTTTGAAATCTGGCGCCCCGGGCCATTTACAAATACAAATAATATATCAAAATATTGGTCAGTAATTAATACTTTTAAATGGCTTCTGGCGTTCCTCTCAGCTCTGGCGCCACGGGTCATGGCCCCAGGGTAAAGACGCCCCTGGGGACTGTGCCGCGTGGCTTCACTCGGTTCTGATACAATCAAAACTCCCAGGTCACTAAAATATTAGAATTTGTTTTCTTTTTCGACAGTCGAAGTAACCTTATCGGAAATCGACCACTATCATATTATATCAATACCTTGGGGCCTGGCAAAGAAGCTTCCTTTTTCTTAGCGTTTATAGCGAATTAAAATATAAAATCTATGGGATTGTCATTATTGTACAACATACTAAATAATATATATATATATATATATAAGGAAAACTGAGTGACTGACTGACAATCAAAGTACAGCTCAAACCGCTGGGTCTAGAGACCCCTTACTTTAGTGCCTTTTGAATTGTAATTATGACATGACATGTTTTATTATTGAATATTAAGATATTTAACTTGTAATTTGAATAACCTAATGAATTTGTATGCCCATATTGGCACGACATGTTACGTACTCCTCAAATCATAATATCGTACTTACTCATGTTGTTACAAATAAACATTTTCTTTCTTACTTTCTTTGTTCTTTTAAGGGTTTATAATATATTATATAAAGGTAAGATAAGGTATAAAATAGGCATGAGAGTTTGTATGAAAACTCTTATTCCTTGAGTAATAGAATAATAGACAAGAAGCTTGGCACGAATACTTTTTTTTTTTATTTATTTATTTAAGGAAAACATACAGCCTTATTATAATACATTTGAGTATAAAATATTTGATTTATACATAAGCCAAATCAGTTTCCACGACGTAATAAAAATTTACATTGAGTAGATTTTTAATTAAATCTCATAACTGTAACAGGGATAAAAACAAGATTTTGTACAAATATTTGAAATTTTGAATAATATTTGAAATTTTGATGAGTCTCTTATTACTTATGTAGGTATGTCATTAAAAACAATATGAAAACAAAATGTAACAAAGATTGATTGATGTTAATGGGCCTAATAACAATTCAATTAAAACAAGACGATACAGATTTTTTAAACTTAACTAAGCTAAGACTAAAAATGTCGAACTGTTTATATCTGTTATCATAGGCACTACAGGATCTTATAGTAAACCTATTCTTGGCATAGTTGGTGCGACACAAAGGCAGAGCAAATGTTTTAGTAGACCTCAGAGAAGAGTTTCTACATTTATAAAATATGTTACTGGTTAAATGACTTGAGTCGATCATATTATTAATTATTTTATAAAGCATAATTTGATCGCGATGCTCTCTACGCAGATTCAAAGGTACGATTATTTCTGTGCAGATTTCAGGATATCTATAATTCAAACGTTTGATAAACTTCTTTTGCATATTTTCTATAGAATCTATATAAATTGAATATTGGGGATTCCAAGCTGTTGATGCATATCAAAGTACTAGGTGCTTTAAAATCAGAGCTTTGCCGAAAGATGAAGCCAAGCATTCTGTAAGCACGACTAATGATATCATGAACATGTGAATCAAAAAGAAGTTCACTATGTAAAATAACACCCAAGTCTCTCATCTCGGTAACCCTGTGCAGTATATTATTTTGCAAAGAATAGTTACAAAATATAGGATTCTTTTTTCTACTATAAGTTAGAACGTGACATTTACTTATATTTAAATGCAGTTTATTGTTTGTACAGTATTGTTCTAAAAGTTTCAAGTCATTCCGTAGTAAATTACAATCTGACAGGGATTTGATTTCATGAAATAATTTGATGTCATCGGCATATAGCAAAATTTTTGAGCTTTGAACAACACTTACAACATCGTTTATAAATATATTAAAAAACAATGATCCGAGATGAGATCCCTGGGGCACGCCTGAGGTAATGGGTACAAAAGATGATGTGAAACCTCTCACTGCAACTGCCTGAGTTCTATCCCTCAGGTAAGAAGTTAACCATCTCAGGAGATCACCGTGTATACCGACGTGTTCGAGTTTGGATATCAGTATTGAGTGCGATATTTTATCGAAAGCCTTCGAAAAATCAGTATACACGGCATCCACCTGAGACCCCCCATCCATGGTAGCAAGCACATAGTCAAGAAATTCACACAAATTCGATTCTGTGGACCGCTTGTTAATAAAACCATGTTGCTGTGTAACAATAACAGGCCTAATAGCTGGAAAAAGCGAATCGTAGATAATTTTCTCAAACATCTTTGGTAAGACCGATACTTTCGATATTCCTCTATAGTTTTTAATGTCGTGTTTATTTCCTGCTTTAAAAATGGGTACAATTAGTGAACGCTTCCAATATTTAGGCATTATACCAGTAGACAGCGATAAAGAAAACAATTTGGAGATGGGTTGTGCAAGCACTTTACGACAACGTTTCAAGAAAATTTACGACAACGTTTCATCCAATCGTGAAAGATATTTCTCAACTATTTCAGTGTTAATGTCCACGTTAGTTATTACGGAATTACATGGATAAAGATATGAAGGGGCACCAGTAGAAAAAATATCCGATTGCTTGTCAAACACCGAGTGAAAAAAATTATTGAAAGCTTCCGCAATTACATGCCCCTCTGAGAAAGTGTCATTATCAAGAAATAAGCAGTCCGGTATGCGGTTATTTGACTTTTTAGATTTGATGTGTACCCAGAAGGCTTTTGAATTATTTTTAATATTATTCTCTGTTCTTTCAATGAATTTCTTATAACAAGAACTTTCAAGTTCCTTGCACTGTCTACGCAAACTGGAAAATGTTTCATAATGAGAAAACCTCCCATATATTTTCCATTTCTTATGCATTTCATTTTTCTTTTTTATCAAACTAATTAACGATCATGTAAACCATGCAGGGTATTTACTATCATCATAAATTACTCGTGACGGTATATACAATTCTATACAATTATTAATAATAGAATAAAAGTTTGAAAGAGCAACCTCGATATTATTTAATGGTAAATGCAGATTCCAGTCAACTTTAGATAACTCACTATTAATTTGATTATAATCTGCAGCATAATAACGTTTAACAATGCGAGGGCCAGATAACAAGTCATTTTGTTTATGATTTAAATTTAAGCTGATATCCAATGACGGATGATGCAAATCTTCCGGCAAAGCCAAAGGGGCAGCGCGGGTTACAATACACAAGGAATTAGAAAAAACTAAATCTAAGCATCTGTTATTATGGTTTAATATGTGGTTGTACTAATGCCAACCAGTATAATTCAAGAAGTTGGACACCTGTGATGTTAAAACATTAATTGTTGGATTTATCATATAATTTTCACGAAATTTTTGTGTTGTTAGTTATATTTGAGCACCATTGGGCTTCTGTTATATTAAAATCACCCAAAACTACAAAAGTATGAGATGAAAATTCAATGCTTAACTCGGCAATATCATCAAAAAATTGCATTTGTGACGAAGCCTGGTACAGACTGTGAGGAAAATAACAACAGAACAAACAGACTTTTGTTATGTTGTTTCCATCAGAGATGATTAAGTTAACGTATGTGATATCAGCGCGAGACAATTCACACCTAGGGCCTGGCATCTCAGGTCGCACATCAACACGTATTTGACTACGTACTGCAATTAGTGTTCCACCTCCCATGCGCATACCTAATTTTTGATAGTCACGATCCGTTCTATAAACATTATAACGGGAATCAAACAACTCACAGTCGTAAATACCTGGCAAAAGCCACTTCTCCGAAAGGCATATTATATCATAATTTGAATTTAAAATATTAGCTAAAAACTCCTTGGTTTTTGTCCGTAAACCACGAACGTTTTGATAAAATATTGTTAACACGATAACGGCTTAAATAAATAATAGTTTTTAAGGTTAAATAACAAATTAAACCGAAATTTCACTACACCTTTCAAATGTACAAATTGTCCATGATACGCGTTATAAAGAAATATTTCAGATTCTGTCATAAAATAAGCAAAGTCAAAATGTATTTTTGAGTAAAAATTGTAGATCGATGGATAGATAAATATAAGGCGGTAGATTAAAGAGGATTTAACTTCACCTGCATCTCGCGAGAATTGACAAGAATATTTTTTAAAAAACACATAAATTATTACGCCTATATAAACACTTAAATCATTATCCAGTACGTATGCAAAACTGTCATAGTTCAAACCCAATATTCGCAAATAAAAATCAATGTATTGCATTCCGTGAGTTACCGATACCAATCTACGAGAGTGTATGAAAATATGCAATTCAACTTATCTAAATAAATTATAAAGTGCGCCATTTTTGGTTTGCCTAAACTACCGCTAAAGGGGGGGTTGGAGGGTATTCAAAATTAATTTTAACGCGCATTCAATTAACTCGAAACTCAGTATTTTTGTACTTGAGACCTGAAATATAGAATAGCCATTAACAATGTATCAGGGTTCTTTGTGGATTTGGACAGAGTGCCGGGCGGCCGCTAGTATAATATATCACTTCATGAGTGCATATCACGTGGTCAAGGCTTAACAAACGAACTGTCAAACTGTCATTTTCTATTTCAACGTGACACTAATTCCGCGATGCGTTGTACGACGTCGTAGATTTCTACGGTGCGGCGATGCCGCAACGCTGAGTTGTGGCCTCGCCCTAACATAGCACCTCTTAGTACTTAACGAAATAACGATCGCTACGAAACGTTTGCCACATGGCTAGGGGGGTTACCTTTAATAAAAGCTGATATTTCTAGGTTAAATTAATTTTTGTGTGCTTTATAGGTATTGTCAGAGAAGCATGTTTTGTGGTCGCAAAGTGATCAAGCAGTCGGCCTATTGCTACGTAGAGGGTAGCTACTGTCAACATTGGATCAGAACCAGGATGCAGAGGCGAAAGGATCCAGGTGAACATGCACATAGGTATTTAGCAGACTAATTTTATATTTAACCAAAGCTTCAAATATGCTTTTAGGATAAGCTCAGCAACACTTCTATGCAGTGCTTTAGTAAGAATCATAACATCATTACAATTTAACCAAAATATCGCTCATATTGCAGTGTCGTAAAGAAACTTGTAGGTATTGTAGTAACAGAAGAGTACTATGAAATACAATACTGACTTTCGGTAGGGATGTGTTTTCAATATAACGTAGAGTTAGGTTATAGTTTTATTTTTTTTAGCATTTAACTGTTAGATGTTTAAATCAAAAGGAAATTTTACTAGAAAAAAATCTACGCGGCCCAGCAGTGCTATGCTGTAAAATTTTCACGTGCGGATCCGATGTGGATCCGCCTGAATATGATCCGCGGGTGATCATTTTACCGAATAGCACTACAGGCAGCAGACGTAGGGTTACCATTTAGGAATTTCAAAAATCCTGACATATCGAAAAAAGTCCGGGCTTTTTAGTCACAAAATGGTATCATTACTCACTTAGTTACAATGGTATGGTATTTAAATCAATATGCATTGTTATTATTCATATTCAATGTAATTTAAAAATCCGGACAATTTAAAGATCCGGTCAAAGTCCGGATTATAGTCCAAAAGTCCGGACATGCCCGGACTAATCCGGACGGATGGTAACCCTAAGCAGACGGATTTTTTGACATGACAGATTTTTTGCTGCTTAAGATTGACTTGGCTCTAACTTAACATCAAATTAGTTATTCGCGTTGGTTAGGTTAATGATGTGTCTTGTATATAATACTAGCTGTACCCCGCGGTGTTTCCCGCAGTTTATTAGGGATATTTTCCCACAGTAAAACGTAGCCTATGTGTTAATCCGGGGTGTAAGTTAACTCAATATCAAATTTTATTATAATCGCTCTAGCCGTTAAGACGTGAAGAAGTAACAAACATACACACTCACAAACTTTCACCTTTATAATATTAGTGTGATAAGAGATGATTTATTATTGCCTTCTCTTTATTGTCTTGATTGGAATCAAGCTATTAATAAGGGACCCAATCAACGTAGATTTGAAGAAGATTATTGTAGCCGCAGAAGATTTTTAGAAATAATTTCCCACGTTAGTGGAGTCGACATTATTTAAGTACAGTACTAATTGGACAGTTAATCAAGTTTTTTTTTGTATTCAGATTACAGAAAAAATTATGCGGTCTAGACATTATTTATCTTCTTCTTAGACTTCGATATCAGTCGACAAGTTATATACTCTGCTTTCGTAAAAAATAAATTCGTTGATAAAGTATATAAAAATTACATTGGTATAAGTTTGCCACCCCCTTTTTATAAACTCTGTTTAACAATATCGGTCCTCTAGCTTTTATTTGCATTCAAAAAAGAGCGTGTATGCGTGCATTCACAAAAATATTTCGTTTCGAATAGTAATTAACAGAGCTCAACCATTTATATTCCACATGATGAGAAATTTGCACAATCATCATTTGCGCAGTGTACGCACATAAAGGTAAAATATTGCCACCGATTTGGGTAGCTGTAGCGATATTGTACAGTAGGTAAAACGGTTCGGTTACATTTTTCTTAGTGTTTATTTAAAGTTATATTATATTTTTAAAATAGTACTCGGTTTTTTCAAAGTTTTGGTGTCAGTTAATCTAAGTTATTATTGTTACTTATATTTGACTATGCTTTATCTTTTTTAATACAACTTCTGTATTACAGAGCAGATAACAATTCGTGATTCCAGCTGCAAAAAATATCGAATATATTGAACGAACCGTCAAACTTGATATCTCTCAAAAAAGCATATTTTTGTTGGCAAAATATGAATTAGTTTGTTTGCACTAAATCCAATTACTACTCACGTCACCACAAATTGTTCGGAGCGAAATTTTCCGATGATTCATCCGGTTTGGCGCGAATGGATCGTAGAATGTTATTCAGTAATTTTGCATTTCAATCTGTTCATTTGCGATTCACTCTTGCATCTAGCGTACCCATGGGGAGCACTGAACATACATTATTTGTTCTGTTATTGTTGGTTACTCGAACGTTTATTTGCTTGATGTCAGATTTGTTATCCCCATACTATTTATTGAAATAAAACAAGGCTACGTAAAAGAGTTTAATCCTTTAATCTTGTTTTAATTACTAAAAATACATGCACACTTATTTTTGAATCATTGTTAGTAGAAGTACTTACGTATTCGAAAAAATAGAAAAATCCGAAAAAATACGCACAAATATTAGAAGAAATCTATTAATATCATAATACATAAGTATAAACTTCAAATATATATATACAACATTGAATAAGACAGATATGTTCATACTTTATTTTTATTGGGGCAAAATAAATTAAAATTATTAAGATTTTGTGAAATAAATATATATCTACCATATCGATAAACTATAAAAAACATGTATTTTTTTATATATAAAAATATAAATATTTTTACCTACCTAAAGTAAATTAATAAAAAGTTAACATAATATAAAAAAGTTTTACTAAATAAATAAAAGCAATATTCATTATTTTTTTAAGCATTTAACTGCTTAGTTCATAAATAAATGGAAAAATTAGTTTAATTTACATCAAACATGCCATGCCGCATCTAGAATCGATCCCAAACAGACCGTTCTCTGTACATCCGTGGTTGCCTAGTGCAACTGTGCGAGTTGCGATTCAAATTTCGATCTACCCACGTTGATTTCATTATTGTGTGTGTACGCTCAAGTGCATTACGATAAAACTTAATTTTTCTCAGTAAGCGAATTGTATTATTCTTTTTGAGAAATTAAATTTTTTAACCATAAAATCGTCTTGATGAAGTAACAAACTGATTTCGAACTTTCACACCTTTGAATATTAGTTGCAATAAATACCTTATAAGCCCTTAAACTTTTTTTAAATAAATATAAAAATTTAATTAAAATATTCGTATTAATAAACATTTGTGTGTTAAATATTGTACGAGAGTTGCTGGAATATCCGTTAAACGCATGAACGACCACAACTTACTGAGAAGTTTTTATTGAGGAAGTAGATTCCAAGTACTTAATAAGTATATTTTTTTATTAGTAAATATATGATATTCTCTCGATGGTGAGCGCATAGGTTGGTACGTTCGATCTGAAATCGCCTGCCATAGTGTACAAAATTATAAAGTATTGCGTGCTTTTAAAAGCGAGTTAAATCTGATCTGATCAATGAAAAGGCCTGTGTACGACTTTTATAGTTTAAACAAATATATATGAATAATATACCTACATAATTTGTTTACAATGCATATAAGTTACATACCTTTATTTGATCGCATTTCAAAGTGTGAAACAGTTCATGTCAGTGAAAGAGAATGAACCGAAATTAAATTTGATTTATTACATTTGAGTTATTTGAGTATGAGAAAGATAAATTAAAGTCCTGTGAGCTTATATGAGAGGATGACGAGAGTCATGAATATTTTAAAACGTATTACGCTTTTGCCTGCGCTTATAATAATTTGATTTTTGAATTTATTTGTGATCCTTCTTAATAGATAATTCTAACGGCGATAAAACGAATTCATTCTAATTTTCTAATTACTTTTAAAATTTTGGGGTTTCTGATAAGGCCGGTTAAGGTGAGAATGGCTGGAGCAGCACATTAATCATCCCTATTAATCCCTGCTCCAGCCATTCTCGCCTTGACGAACTTTTTTCTTAATTTTTATTCATGCATCAAATAGACTATCAAAATGTATTTGATATTTTTTTTTCATATAATTTAAATATGGCAGTTATATATTGATTTAAAATGTTGCATGACGTCACGTCTTGATACAATTATAACTTAGAAGTGACTTCACGAGCCCCTACTCTCAAACTTTGATGCACTTTATCTTTGTCGTATTTTGATTGATTGATAAAAGAAAAAATATATGTCCATAATTTTTTGATAAACTAACTGACAGACTGAATATAATATCGTTTAATTTACCCTGTCATAATCCGCCTGTTGCATCAGTTATCTTCACAATTGAACTCCACTTAACTTAAAATCAGCATGTCGATTCTGTAAGATACTTGATTGACATTTACTATATTTTCAGGGTATGGTTACAAAGTAATTGAATCAATGTCGCCTCCAGTACCTGTGATACACAAAGAAGACTCGCGTATTATGCCACCAGCGCCGGTCGAATGCGGTCGTATAGGCCGCTACAGAGGCTCAGCTTCGGGGCGTATGAAATCTCGAATGAGGGACATGGTCCGAATAATAGGTGGAAGGCCTGCACCCCCCGGCAAATGGCCTTGGCAAGTTGTTGTACTGAATCGGTATAAGGTAAGGTTTTATTGCTTTTTAATGTCAATAGGCTAAATGAGCGAAAGGTTATTTTAAAAGCTCCAATGACCCCAGAAATTTGTGACCTTAAAAGATAACGATATCTCGATGGCTCCTTCGTAAACTGCCCTAAGTGCAAAAATCAAATTTTACAGGAGAGCACTTTAAAGGTTCCAGAGCTGTATTTTGTATCATATCTCATAAACTACTAAAACAATATTTATGAAATTTTGCAGTAAGCGTAGACATGTCATTTTATTTATATTATAGTTACATTTATTTATGTATTTTTTATATATTTCGAGATTTTGCACTTTCGACATTTTACATCGTTCATTTTCTATGATTAATATTATATTATTCCACGTAAAAAGGCTTTTGTGATCTTCCGCCCATATACGAGGATCAATAATTATTTATGTTTGTGTATTATAACGGTATTGTTCTATATTTAAAGGGTTCTTTGTTACTATTAGAAGCCAAAATCAATAACGATCAACCAAAAATAATACCTATTATGACGTAATTTCGTTTAAAAGCACATGCGCCATAAACGGGGTGCAAACTTTGGTTAAGTCTTTTTAACATGTAAAAATGGGTATCAAAAATAAAATATTTCAGTACTAAAAATCAAAAGATTTATTCAGAAGTTTAGTAGACTTTATATCAAAAATATTTTTAAGAGAGCAATTACAATTTGGCATGAGATTAACCTGACTTAAGTATTTTATTACAATCATACCCAATTATTTAAAAAGGTAAAAATCACTTTAATTGTACCTGCAAAATAAACTAGATTAAGTACAATTATTTTTTATAAAAATATAAGTAATAAAGTAAACAATCAACCACATTAATAATTCAAAAATAGAACTCAAAATCAACATGTTTTATTAGATTCTTTTAACAAACAAGACATTATGTAATTTTGAACCATAGATTTGCCACGTTTCGTTGTTAATTATAGAGAGTAAGTATAGCTTGCTCTAAAACAAATAATAAAATTAATTTAAAACTCAAAAGTGTTGAGATCAACAGTTACGGAATATCACAATCAACAACTAGTTATAATTTTAATAATCTATTCTTCATCACTGCTTAATTCTTCAATTTGATCCCCTGATGATGATACTGTTAGATTAGAAAAAAATGCATGATATCCTGCTGGAATCACTTTAGCGCTACACATAGACATCAAATCTTTCTTTTTGTCTTCTGTAAGCGATAACAGTCCATTATAACATCTATTTAAGCTAGGCTCTACTGGTACGTGGTCTTGTTTTCGGTATCTAGTACGCCTTTTTGTTGTATGCATCGGCTTAACATTTATGACATGTTCAGTTGCATCTCTAGCCAGGTCATACTTGAAAGTCAATGAATCAGGTGTATTGTGGGAGACTATAACTTGTATTATTTTGGACCTTTTCACTTGATTACCGTTTGCATCTTTAGTCCAATTATAGATAGAAGAGTTCTGCATCTTCTTAAAATCAAAAATCATATCTTGAGTGACATCAGTAACTGTGTATGCTTCACCTGTTTGTTTCGACCACCAAATTAATGCATTCCACTCATTTGGAGTATAAATGATTTTATTTTTTGCAGCCTTTTCAATGGTTGCATGAACGCTGTCCACTTCCGATTGAGTGTGTCCTTTTTCCAAGTACGTATGTTTAACATTGACGCCAAATTTTTTAGAAGTATATAAGTACATGAAAAATATTATCCTGTTTCTATTCTGGCTTGAACAGTTATCAGACCAAAAGCGGAAATCATTGTAGCCTTCTTTGGATTTTTTCACAATTAAATCATATACAAAACTTGCTATATCATTTGGCCCTTTCTTCCCATCTTGCTCAGACCATAAATAACAAAATCCTTGTAATTTATCTTTATCGAAGGCTGTGAAATTGTATAATTTTAATTTCATCTTATAATAAAATATACTTACATCACCGTGGGGACAATATAAGATTTTTTGCATGTCGTAACATGCACAGAATATTTTTTCACGGCTTAGTGCAGCTTGCTTTTTATCTTCTTCTTATATATATATATATATATATATATATATATCTATCGTCTTTAATAATCGAGCTAAGTTTTTATTACTTGTATGTGTCGCGTACCCTAATTTCAAGTTTTTATTCGGTTCAGGTGTATTTTTAAAAACGTGGCATGTATCGCACAAGTCTTTTTTAGGTTTGTGGAAACTTAAGTTAATATTTTTGTTTATAATGTCACGATATTGTCGCAGAGATGCACACTTTGATGGGTACCTATTTTAATTGAACCATTCATTATACACCGTATACATTCTCCTAAACGTGAGCGACCCATCCAAATAAAGTCTACTGGTATCTTTTCGACAGTAATGAGACTCCACCGGCACATATGATTTTACATGGTCCAGAACACTCTCGATCATAGCATCAGAAGTAACTATAGGGTGATTCATGTGATGTCCTCTCTGATCATAGGCTGTCAGTTCACCCATATTTTTGGCTATAGCTGTGCGAACAACTTATAGTGTATTGTATCCGTTGCTAGCTGACATTGATTGGAAGTTATTGTACATTATGCGAAATCCAGATGACGCGGTGAATTATTTTTATGCTTCTGTAAATGACGTATTTAATAAATGCGTACCTAGCAAGAGGCCTCGTAAAGAAACCGGTAGGTATAGGTATCCGGAGTGGTACTCAGTAGATATAATAAAAACAATAAAATTGAAAGCAAAACTCCATAAAGAGTTCAAATCTAATAGAACATCAGAAAACTACACATCCTTTTCTAAATGCAGGGCTAAGGTAAAGGAAATGATAACTCTGGCGCACGATGCATACACAAATAGGGTTCAGTGTAACTTAGCAAAAGATCCAAAGTCTTTCTGGGATTATGTGAGATCACAAAAGGGTACAGTGAATCGCAAAAAGATTACCAAAAATGGAACTTTTTTACCAGATTCTGAATGTGCAAAGGAGTTCGCAAAATATTTCCATTCTGTATACGGTAATGAACCCGCCAAGCTAGACGTGGCGGAGGCAACAGCAGCCAGTGGGGCGAGTGCCGCTCGTATTCACGTCCCACAGCTCACGCTGCGCGAGGTAAGAGAGGCAATGGTGCGGTTAAAGCCGAAGCGTTCCGCAGGACCTGACGGCATCCCTTCTTTTGTCGTCAGAGACTGCCGGGCTGTTCTGGCGGAGCCACTCTTGCATATATTTAATATATGCTTAGAGGCATCTTATTTTCCGAAATGCTGGAAAACCACACGGGTTGTGCCTATACCTAAAAGTGATGGGGGATCGGAAGTAAATGGGTTTAGGCCTATCGCGATTCTATCGACGCCGGCAAAAGTATTTGAAGGCGCATTGCAGCGGAGCATTCAGTTGCAGGTATCAGCTCAATTATCTAACGAGCAACACGGGTTCAGGCCTGAACGCAGTACTACCAGCAACTTAATGAACGCGATGACCTACATTGTACCTCGTGTGGACGCAGGAGAGCAAGTTGACGTCGCCTACTTCGACTACAAAAAAGCGTTCGATCTTGTCGATAACGACGTATTGTTGGCGAAGTTGGCTGGGGTCGGTTGCACTAATCAACTCCTTAATTTCTTTGTAAGTTACATGAGGGATCGAATGCAGTATGTGGAGTATGCTGGGTATAAATCTGAGTCCTATTTTACCAGAACTGGGGTGAGTCAGGGCAGCAACCTAGGCCCATTAGAATTTATCGTTATGATAAATGACCTGCCAGAAGTGGTCAAGTATGCTCGATGTTTACTTTTCGCAGATGATCTGAAATTGTTGTGGGCCGTTAAGGACTACGAGGATTGTGAACGGTTACAAGGAGACATTGACAGGGTGGTGGAGTGGAGTCGAAAAAATAAACTGCAGTTTAATACTAACAAATGCTCCATAATATCTTTTAGTAGAGCACAAACTCCGCTCCACTTCGACTACAAAATTGAAAATTCAAAATTACATAGGACTGAGACAGTCAGAGATTTGGGAGTACAATTAAATCACAAATTGAATTTTAAAGATCATATTACGAATATTTGTAAAAAAGCTTACAGAAGTTTGGGTTTTGTTTTGCGTCATTCAGTAGGTTTTACGAATATGAAAGCGATTGCGGCCCTGTATAATGCGCATATACGAAGTCAGCTCGAATTCAACGCGATAGTATGGGCTCCACACGAAACAAAGTATAGACAAATGATGTAGCGCATACAAAATAAATACACGAGATACTTATACCTAAAGTTATACGGAGTGTACCCTTTCTATCCGTTGATGTACCCAACCTTGTTCGTATTGGGCATGGTCGGTTACAACAAGTTGGAGACAAGAAGGGAACTGGCACTCGCTGATTACATAGTCAGGGTGTTGCGAGGCATTACCTGCAACCCAAATATATTAGGATTGCTAAATTTATGCGTGCCTGATAGATACGTGTGGCGGCGCCGGCGGCCGCAGCTTCTCGCGGTGCCGCGCGCCCGCACTCGCCTGCTGGCCACCGCACCTCTGACGCGAACAATACACACGCTCAATGTAGTTGCCGAGTCTATCGATTTGTTCACCTGTTCGATTGGCGAGTTTACGAAAGTAACTTTAAAAGTGTTGTGCTATAAATAACATTATTGACTTTTTTACTGGAATATATTTTTATTTATTTTGAGAAATGTATTATGAATTTTAGATTTTATGGACAATATTTGTAATGCATCCTAATTGAAGTTATTTTTTTTTTTTATTTTTATAGATTTTTAATTGACATTTGCTTAAATTGACATTGTTTTTTCTTTTATTTATTTTTATTGACATTTATTGACATTTATATATAATTTACAACATTGAAATAATATTGTTAATAATTAATGTAATTTTATAAGAATTTATAGTTAGCTTGAAAGGACGACTACACTATTGAATTAGGTATATACCTGTTATAATGGTGTAATGTATTTTGAATAAATAAATAAAAAACTTTTTCACTAACAGAAAAAGTTTGTAAAAATGTTGTTTTACAAACGCGGTGTTTTTGATCATTATCTACGTTAAATGTAGTGTTATTATCACTGTCTAGAACAGGCAGGTAATAAACATAGGTAAACGTGCGTCGTGAGTCTTCAGAGATAGTTCTACGTTTATTAATTTAATACACATACCTAGCTAGAATATCCCACTGTTTTGAATGGTCACCAACAGCCCAGAATCTATCAAATATTTTTTGACGTTGAGGATCTGTAAATTTTTCATAGCACTTGTATGCACATTTTGGGTAACATTTTAAAGCACCTAGTGTTTTTGCACGTCTTAGTTTATCGTCCCGACTTTGGTATTGCAAGCCTAAATTTTTCAAGCGTTTCCGTTTCATATCTATACATTCTTTTTGATATGTCTGTCTGAGTCTTCCAATATCTTTTCTTTTAGGATATTTCTTTTTCCTATTTCTTAAAAATGGTAAGAAAACGTCACTTGACGAATATGCAGCTGGGTCACTAACTGATGCATAGGATTGTATATTACTAGATATAACAGAACTCGGATTTTCATAGTTATCATCCATAGGTTCGATTAACTCTGGCGTTGATGTTAAATAGTCTGAATTAGTAAATGGAAACTTTTCAAAAGAACTATCCACGTTGGAGTAAGCTGAAAATGACTTTGGCGGTGACGGCATTGCTGTATTAAAAATTACAGATTCAGTTTTATCAATAGGAGACGTCTGTGCATCATCTTCAACAGTTTTTGTTAGCTGTAAGTCTGTATGAACGAAAATTTCAAAAGATAAATCTTCAACTACATATTCTGCACCAGATGGAAGAGGAGATACTGCAACAAAAGATAATATAATATTTCAAATCAAATTGGTATTGTATAATATAATTATAACAAATAATAACTTCAATTCAAATAACCCACCTGCAGTTACGCCATGGCATATTATTAAGTAAATATAAATACCCAGCTAATAAGAACACTACCTTATTTTGTAAAACGCATAGTTATACTTGTAACTAATAAAAAATATTAAAATATTTTCCATTAAGTACAAAAATCATTAAATTTCAAAAATGGGCGAAAACGATTTAAGATAAATTAAGCTACGTAAAAAGGCAGATGTGACTATACGCCTTTATACACGGTTTTCGGTAAATTTATAGTTACAAAAATATATTTAGTGACTATAAAAATTGATTACCACACTGATGTTATGTAATTTATGTACTAAAAGACAAAATGAATCTTTGTATGTTGCCTGTACATTCCGTGTCATTATTTTCGTTTTGAACCTCGTCTTCGAAGCTTAAATCAGTGCTGTTGTTTTGATGCATAATTTTATCTATAATTTTTTGAGCTCTTGTTAACCGCATACCTTTCTTTGGAAGCATTTCCGTTAAACAAGGTTGAATTTTAAATAAATTTACACTACAAACGCACGAGCGCCACTGTCGCGACGGAAAGTTCCCAAACACTCAGTAGAACGACTGAAGCGGTACCTCCACCCACTCACCGCACCCCGTCGCGATTCCTCAACGCTGTACATGGACCGATCGTTACATCGGGCCTTATACGCAACTATTTAGTGCGTATACGCCCATATGCCTAAAAATTTATTTTTGAAATAGCAAAAAAAAAAAATTTTTTTTTATATTATAGATTAGGTCTAAATAAACTCATTGCACAAATAATTGTAAAAAGGCTTAAGCGGCATTTTGGCCCTTTTACGTAGGAGCCATCGATCTCAAATATTTTAATTGATTTATTAAAAAGTTAAAATTAGGGACCTACCCTGACTTTGCCTGGATGGAATATAAATTAAATTGAATATTGAAAATCGATAAATAGTTCCAGATATTAGTTCCTACAAATAAATCAATTTTACCTCTTTAAATAGCATTAGTTCAACCTCAAATCTATTTTCGGAACAACGAATAACTACAGAGCTGATTTCTTTTAAGGACAGCCGAAAATATTTTAAAGTTGCAATGAGTGACCCATATTTAATAAAATTTTGGTAAGCAATCGGAGAATAAGCAAAAAATTCAAATGTGTGCCGCTAATATAAGTCTAGAAAAAATATTATGCTACTTAATGCACAAAATGGGCACATCTCTTATTTTTCTGTCGGTATAAAACAGTTTTCTACTGCCTTATTCTGTGGACATTAAATAGTTTTTCATTTGTTCAAAATGAGAAGTAAAGATATAACAGCATTTTTTTGTAAAGAAGGAGCTAATGGAGGAGAACGCTCTTGAAACTTTTTTCACATCATTCACAATGATACTTAATCATTCACAAACTGTGATGCATCGATTGCGAAACTTCTAATAACTTTGTCAAAATAGGATACAAAGCCATCTATCACAGCCGTCGTTGTTATATTCCCTCTGAATATTTTATTTAGTCTGAATTGTACGCTATGAGGAAAATGCATTTATACATATACTACATACACTCATAGATATAGATAGATATTATAATATATTTTGAAATCCTATTGAACTGCGAGACCAGGCTTTTATGAGCTACCTGGGTAAAGGGTTATTGATAACCTAATTTAGATCTGCGTAAGCTATCACTGTCGTAAACGCTGCCTAATACACCATTCGATCATTCAAATTTAATGACTATTTTATATGGAATAATCAGAATCAAATACGTTTAATGTCTATAGAGCAACTTGATTATTTTCATAACAATATAGTCGATTTTAATAATAAAGTTTGGAGACTTCGCAAAACAGCAATTAATTCAGACCTTATTTAAATTTTAATTATTTATTGGTTATACGGGTGGATCTCGGAGTGTCTAGGTCGCACTGTGACTATCCTCCATTAAATATTACACAAATGACTACATATAATTTCTTCGCAATCTTTAATTGACTACATCGCATAATGCCTAAGATCGCAAAATGACTACATCTTTATTTGTCGACATCTTACAATGACTAGGTCGCTAAATGACTAGATAGATTATTTGTCTAGTTTGTGTTTTATTACATAAATGTACTTTTTTTCCTACAAAGAATATCGCGGTGTTTTGTTATAGCGTGACGCATGTTGCAATGTTTATTTCTATGTGCTGGAAGTTTTATCATGATAGCGGGAATACGAATTTTATAGTGTGGCCGTAGCGTAAAAATCAATCTTAGTAAATCTTTATATACAGGACCTACATACATCAAAGAAGTCTAAGCAACATGCATCATTAACGCAAACAAGTATTATCAGTAGATATTTTATATTAGCGTTATGAAGTGTATAATTTATTCGGGTTTTTGGCTTTAGTAACTAATAATTCAAGTTGTTTATTATTAACAAAAGAACTTACATTCTTTTGTTATTCTCAATGTTTCATATTCTCATATTCAATGTTAACAAAAATCGGTCAAAAGTTGAAATAAGTTCATGTTGATTAAACACTTTGGATGAGTATAATTATGCGTCATAAGTTATGGAAAAGAGTTCACGTTGCCAGCGACGCCGGCCTTGTGGACCCTGCAGGACCCGGCAGCATATCAATTTGTAAATATACTCCACGCGTAAGCCACTCTGGAAGTTTCGGCTGTCACTTTAGGAAGTTCATATTATGAAAAAGATGTTTCGTGACAAACCCTCTGGAATTTGCATTGCGTAAATCTGTATTGTTTTCAACTTTGTTGTTGTTGTGATTGATTTTATGTTACTTATATAGTGAATAAATACATGTGTCTGAATATGATAGACAAAGCCGTAATATAGTTGTATCCCTAGGTTTATAATTATAATACTTGATTACTTAAGTTTACAATTAAGATCAGGTTAGTTGCGCCTCCTATAAAAAAATGTGTTAAGTATAAGAGATCTAACATAACCCTGCAGCCGGCTGTAGGGTATCCATTAGTGTTCCACACGCTCTCCCCCGCTTGGGACGTATAATAATAATAATAATTTATTGGAACCACTTTACACTTTGGTACATGATAATCTGAATCCTGCGTATTCGAATCCTGACTGATGCCTGGACTGAGTGGAACCTTTCCTAGTAATTTTGTCCTTAGATTTATAAATGAAGCATTCTTTTATAGCTAGGTAGGCAAAAAGGGTAGAGTACCCCACCTGATGTTAAGTGGTGGTGAAGTCTACACGCGAAGATAGCTTGTAGAAATGCTTCTTCACGCCTCTTTTAAAGGCCCCAGATTAAAGGAAACAGGGAACGCCTGCGCAGGCAAAGAATTCCACTTGCAAATAGTACCACAAACCTGGGTTTTCTTAGTCTTGAACTCCACTAGGTTCTGGTACCCCATTCAAAAAAAAAATGGATAGTGGAAAATGCTGGTTGGAATCCTACCTGAAACCTGAACCTTGTTTTTTATAGTAAAATTTCTTTAAATTCTATGTTATTAGGAAGCTTTTTGCGGCGGCACCATTGTATCGCTACGGTGGGTTGTGACTGCAGCGCACTGCGTGAGAAAGAAGTCGTACGTTCGACTAGGAGAACACGACCTACTGATACGAGGACCTAGGGAGCTAGAAATGAGGGTCACTGAAGCAGTCATCCACCCGCGGTACGACCCTGACACTGTGGTCAACGACGTTGCTATGTTGCGGTAAGACACCTAGCAAACATTTACTTATTCTACATATAATTTTTTTGGCTAACCAATCATTTAGATCCACTTGCAGCAATTTTGCTAAATCTCAATTTAACTAAAAGTAGATTTATCCCATAGAGTAATATTAAATTGACGTTTTGACATTATTCTATTGGGGAATCTTGTTTTTGTTGAATCGAGACCACGCGAAACGTCAATAAATAAATAAATCAGAGCATCATCTATACCGTTGAAAGTTCTTTTAAATTCTGATATTTTTAAATTGTGGGTTTATTTATTATTATTATGAAACATTTTAAAGAATTTAGAAATACTATTAAATAATATTTTGCTTTGTAACGTTGTGGAAATGTACAAATATTACATTAAATAAAATAAAAATAGTTTTTAAAAGCGACTTTTTTTTATTAAATGGTGCTTTTAATTTTATTTGTTTTCGTAGGACCAACCTAGACAATCTTCTCTATCATAAAAACTACACATGATAGTGATTCAAAATAAACACAAATGTTTTGAACTAAAAATTCAATGTCCTTTGCCGCAGGTGGGCTTTAATATAAAAATGAAGTGTGATCTATTTAATTTTCTGGAAAGGATGTTTGACATTAAAAAAATAAAGCGCGCTTTATAAATACCCACTTAAAAAGTGATTTATAACAATCTATTATTTTGACATGTTATCCACTAGATTTATTGTAGAATTAAAATTGTAAAATAAAAGGGTTACTTGTTAATAATTGTTAATAACTAATTACAGTTACAAACTTGTTATTTCTGGAGGCCCGCTATTTTCGATTGTGTCGATCGAGTTTAGAAGACTGATTGATTCGAAACTCAGTATTTATACTTGAGATCAGAAATAAATCTGTTACTCTGTTAAATCAATAAAAACTGTTTGCAAATACGTAAATAAAGGATTTTCTTTGGGCGATCAACCAAAAAATGACAAAGTTATAGCGCATCAAAGTTTGGGAATAGGGGCCCGTGACGTCACTTTTAAGTGAAAATTGTACCACGTGACGTCATGCGACTTTTCAAATCAATATATCTCTGCAATTTTTATATTATGTGAAAAAAGAAAAAATACGTGTCCAATACATTTTGTTAATCTACCTGATAAACGAAGAAAAAAAATAGTCATCATCCCTATTGTCTCATAGAAATTGAAGAAGGCTCTTTAAGTTCCGACGGGCTTTCCCTTAAAGAGTACGGCTTACCACAACCAAGGAGGTCTATATCATTAGAAAATAGAGAGTTGATTAAAGAATCTAGCTACGATGTGATTGATGGCTTTAGATGGTTTATTTATTAACAGAAAAATAAAAGTCACTATACAAACAAATAGTAAGTGCGAATGCAAGTGAGGGCCAAATTTTCTTTTAGATGCGCCAGGAAGAACCAGCAAATCTGAACTATTAAGTTTGATTTGGGAAGAATAAGGGTCACACGTGACTTTAAATTAGTTGTGCTTCTTCGGGAATTACCGCAACACTTTTGCAAGGTAGTCGGACCGCCCACTCTGTCATAAATTTGCCACTAAACCAAAATAAATGAGCAAGTTTGCAGAAGTATTATGGAAAACAAAAATGATTGCCTGGGATGAAAGTACTATGGGCCATAAAAAAGAGTGAAGCGAGACCAATCATTCATCTATGATTTTTATTTTATTTTTTATAGCCAAGTAGGCAAGTGACTCTACTCCACCTGGTGTTAAGTGGTGATGAAGTCCAAACGCGAAGATAGCTGGTACAGCAGTGTAACTGCTACACCAACCAACCTTACCGGCCTGCAGAAATGCTTCTTCACACCTCTCTTGCCAAACAACCAATGCCAGGCGAGTTCTAAATTTGACGTTGTGGTTAACCCACTTGATGCTACCGCTTGATACACGGATCATTATAGAAACAAAAAAATACAATATAGGTAGTTTCGGATTGTATTGTTTATGTTACACGTTAGTTGAGGAGTCCTTTAGTCAAACTTTTGTGTTTGGAGCTTGATTGAGTTTAGACTGGGTACGCTTTATTTTTTACGTGAATTTTATGACGAGTGCTTCAAGGTGAGTACAGACATGAAATATTTTTAAAATTTAGAGTAAATAGTAACAAAATATACAACTTTTTAGTATACTGTATTTATAAACAGATAGCAAACTAATCTAATTTCTAATAATATCTGTTGGTAATTAGGAAATTTACTTAGTGTTCCGTAAAACTAACGCTAGTTATATGGACTGTTGTATTTTGTTGTTTTAACTCACGATCTAAAAAGCTAATCGATCTATAAAAACTCTTTTCGAATCCAACGAAGACAGAAGTCAGTAGCTTTTCATCTCACAAACTGCCTCGCAAACAAAAAACTGAATGGTTACCTTTCGATGGGAAGCCCGTTATTCACAATCCTACGTCAAAGTACTTGGATTTGAAAGTTAGCGATCGGTCCAATATGACGACCGATCGCTAACTTTCAAACATTACTAGGGGGTCTAGCGCAAAAGTTGAAGACTAGAATGGCATGACTCTCAGTTACAGTTTTGCGGACGTCGGCACTTGCTCTGTTGTACTTCGTTGCCCATAACTGTACCTCTGGTTGGTGTCGTAGTGCCCATACTAACAAGGTCGACACCCAGCTCACACATGAAAACATACCACCACTGTATGTACAAATATATAACGTGGCGACTTTTGAATAAAGGAAATGCCAAGTGCTACACATGCCGATCTGAGAGACACTGGACAAGTCCTTGCGCTTGCCGTCTAGATCGCCCAATCGCAATCTGACGTACACTATGACATTTTTTTCAGAATGAGATAGACGTGGTGACTGCTTTATTTTGCTGTCTAGATATAGCTTTACTTATTGCCTGACAGCTTTTTTTATCTAAGATTTCGAAGGAATGTTGCAATAAGTTTATTGGCAACATATGGCAAGGGTGGAGGGAAAAGCAGGGCGCACATTACACAATTTTATAGAAACATCACTCTTTGTTGATATAGGTCATATAATAAGGTACCGAAGTGAACAATTGCGATGTGCGGTATGTCATAAAAACCTCTATGTTTTTGCAAGAAATGTAAAGTATATCTTCATCCCAAAAACTGCTTTGAATTATATATATATATATATATATCATTCTGCATCAGATTAATTTTTTAAACTTATTATAAATATTAAAAAATGTGCTCGTTGTAATTATTTAAAGAAATGGAATACATTGCAGAAACTGGTGAATTATTTTCTTAAGTAAATAAAATATGCGATAACCGGCAGTACAGTAGCTTTTCCGGAACAGATTACTATTGCTCGTGATTTAATTACGATTTCATCTGGGTTGGAACGATGAAATTCGGCAGATTTTGATTTAAATCAAATTAATTTTTCAAATATAATCGCCATTTATTTGATTTTCCTAAAACTCATGATATTTTCCAACCATGTAAGTATCTCAGTAGTACGTGTATAAAAAAAAACAGGGATTCTGCGAAAAAATGTATATCCGTAACAAGTGGGTTAATGAACCAATTTTCTACAGAATGTATAGCTTTACGCTTGCTTCAGCAGAGTTTGATATTTAAATAACATGCCCTTTTGATTTTCTGCCAACGTGTGAGAAATATATGTGACTAACAATAAGTATATATAGTACTTTTTTGTTGTATCCATTCTATTTAAATCCTGAACGACGACCTTGCGATTACGATGCAAATCGGAAAAAGTAAGCCTCTGCATCTACTTTTTTTTGCAGCACTGCTTCTATAACGCTTTAATTATTTTTTTTTTAAATCGGACCTGGCAAAACTGGGTCCCATTTACCACTTGGGTTGGAATGGCACCAAATATTAATTTGGTTAAGATAAAAAAGGTATTATTATTTTCTGCTTTTCAGTTTTATTTTTTCCTAAAATGTTAGTTGTGTGTTTTCAGTTATAAATAAATAAAAATATACGCGTCGACTTGATAACCTCATCCGTATTTTTCGTCGGTTGAAAAGTACCCAAGTATGGCGCCGGACGGATACTTTTAATTACACATTTTTTTTTATTTCATTGGAACCTCCTTGGAAGTGCTTTTAATTTATAGCTTTGTCTCACTTGAATACTAAAAAGAAAAAAAGACGAAGTTTATACTTCTAATTTTCACCACCCGCACGTGGCGCCATTTGGAAATGCACGCTATTATCTTATTAAAAAAAGTTTGCTTCATTAATTAAATAAGGACTGTTTTGTCTAGTGACTATGGTAAGACCTCGACTCAAACTCGTGACTATTATATGGTAAGCCCTCGACTTCGTTTCGGGCTTACATTCGTCTACTCGTTTGTAATAATCAACTTTTCGCACTAATGTCATAAATGTCTATAACCAACCTTTGATGGATATATAGGATATTGGATGAATATAACTTTCGACAGAATGGATTACCAAATACTAAATCACTAATAGAACGTTACTTGCAAAATTAACTGCAAATTTTAATGAGACTGTACCCACGCTATTGTACGATACTTAACTGGATACTGCAAACTAAACAGATAACGATTTCAAAGCGATATTGATGTTTGCAGATACTGCAAGCATAGAGAGAAATCAATAAAATGCTTCCTATGTGAATGTGGACCTATAATCCACATATGAAATAGATATGCACTGTATGCACCTAGGATTATATATATTCGCTCAAAGGAAATCAAATCTCTGAAAGCTAGAAATATATAAGATTGCAAACATGCCATCGGGCTTAAACAGTACCCCTAGCACGAACCAATATCGAATTCAAATAGTTTTGCGAGTCCGAAATGTCGTTGTCAAATTTTGTATGGACACTTGAACAGCAGCGCCACAGAGGACGTAACAAGAACTTAAAATCAGCACATATTTGGCAATGACATTTCGGACTCGCAAACTATTCGAATTCGATATTGGTTCGTGCTAGGGGTAGTGACAAAAGTTATAATAACTATTTAGTGGACGGTGTTTTAAATTTAACATTAAACGGTGATTTGTCATTTTTATGGTTCCCTCAAAACGAAAAAGAACAGTATCTGTCTGTCAAGACCCTTTATCTTAGGAACGCGTGGATGTATAAACTAAATACGAAGACCTACGGTCCTTTTAAGCTGTGAAGCTGTTTTACGTAAAAAAGATACTGTTGCGTATCTACATAAAATATATGTACGGAACCCTCGGTGGGCGACCGACTCACACTTATCCGGTTTTTATTAAATTAGTACCTTCTATAGCAAACACATTATAATTGAAATACTCTAATTATTATTGGATTAAATTTCCATTCTTCTCGTTTCATTCTCAACTATAAATCAAACGACTAGATACGTAACTAACTAAAACGATTTTTTTGTGCACAAGCCAAAGATGACAATCCTAGCAAGACCTCCGAGCGTAGTAGATATATATATTTTTTAAAGTCAAGTAAATACTACTTGCTAGATATTACTTTCTTTCTGTTCTATCTATTTTGTGATACTCATACTGCAAGTGCAATTGTCTGGATCGCGAAAGAGGCTGGATACTTTAAATTGAATATGGGATCCGTCCATCGTACAAGATTAACAATTTACATTAAATCAATGGTCAGTAAGTTCGAGTGAAAATGTCTAAAAACCTAAAAACACGTTTTTGTATGGTATATAGGCTGTATTTTATTATAAATATATTTTTATTGTACACATAGAGCTATTAGATATATTTAATTATGATTTGCGATTTTTTTGCTAGCCACTCCTTTTTCAAATGAATATGTGATATTAAACGTTATATTTTCGTAACGAAAAACAGCCCTTTTTGTTTTGAGAAACCTTACAATAGTATAAAATCTACGTTGTTACTTATATTGGCATTAGAATGCTCAAACGGATTATTTCAATAAGCCCATCTCGATGCGAAAGTTCCGTAACAGATTTCGAACGAAACTGTAATTTTGAAATATTATTCGGTTTTAATTGCTAAAAGATTGAAATAGCTTTTGCTTAAAACCGTACTTATCTTGCAGGCCAATTATGAAACCTCTCGAATGGCAAAATGTTATACAATCTGTATCGTAATAGTCAGTTCCGGAGAAATAAGTACCTAGATACTACCGTTAAGCTTGAAACAATATAGGTTAATAATATATAACTATTACAACATCAATAAAGATCGTTCTTGGAGAAGCTCGATGGCGCAGATACATTGTGCGTTCGGTCTGCGATCGCGGAAGTTAAGCAACTTTCACAGTGGTCGGTCAATGGATTTTATAATTTTATATCTCGATCTCACCTTGCTTCGGGAGGCACATTAAGCCTCGTTGGTCCGGGCTCCATGTGCAGTCATTAGCACCGACCAATCCACTCTGGGCCCGCGTGGGGTGTCATGGCCCAAACTCCCTATTCCATCCATAGGGAAGGCCTGTGCTCCAGCAGTGGGGACATTAATAGGCTGCTGATAATGAAAGATTTCCGCTTTCCGCTACCTCTCTTAATATCATAATCTCAGTATCAATTAGGTACATGATACCCTACCTGACTGATCGATTACGGAATTGGGGCCTAGAGCTTTTAGGTTATTGCTGTTGGCTATGGTTTTGTTCACGCTTTAGTAAAATAATGTGGAATTTTCTCAGAAAAAGGACATTTATTTCTTATGTTTTCACGCACACCAATCATTTGATACAGCACTTTTTGAACCTTTAAAGAATCAGATTTTTACTTTATTTTCATTATAAGTGGTCCCATGGACTCTTGAAAAGTCTTGCCTGTAAAAGATAAGAAAATAAAAAAGTTAATAAACCTCGCCTCCCCTTTCGAAAAGGGTTTTATCAAATGAAATATGTAAAATAGCAATCTAAAAGTTGTACAAAATGTATACTATAAAAACAATAGAATACCCTTGATCGGTCTCACAATGGCGCTTCTCCTGATAATTAAATGGCAGCGTTATCTCCAATCGTATTGTCCTTCACTCCTCATTTTGTACCCGTTTTCAGATAAATTATATTCATTGAAGCAGTCGTATAAATTATGCACGATTGCGCGCACACCGAATACGATTTTCTTTGTCGAATAAGCGTATTATTGCCAACTGTGCCAAGTAGAAATCGAGAAAAAACGCATCCAAAGCACGTGCAAGCAGTCTACCGGTTCAATAATATTTTTTTTCTTTCACACCGAAACCAATAAAATGCCATTGCTCTGTGGGTTGTCTACTTACAGCCAGCGACAGACAATCTTTTGTTGTGAACACTAGATTGTTAGGCTCTTCTATTTTATTATGTACTGAGGGAACAACAATTGAATAGGGTGACTGGAAAACTCGACCTATTCCTTGAAAGGGGTTATACTAGAAGTCATTAGCAACAAATTTAGTCCAGTGCACTAGGAGTCAAACTGGATGGACTTAATTTGTTGCTAATGACCTCTATCTAGTATGGATTATACTTACTACTATACTATACTTTCAAGGAATAGGTCGAGTTTTCCTGTCACCCTGTAGACAGTTCAACCAATTGATAGTTTAATAATGATTCAAAAGGATCGACTTTATACCTCAGCAATGCTACTATGAAGGTGAATCCAGTTTGAAACATAAGCATTCCTTTTTACTGGGGTTATGGCAGTTTAATATAAAGGATGGTTATTTTACTCCCATAGCCCTGGTAATAAGTCTGGAAATAAGATGATATTCCAAAAAACAAACTTTTTATTTCAGCCTACCTTCACCTGCTCGACCAGATCTCGGCCATGGTATAGCGTGTTTGCCTCGGCCCCATCAAATATTGCCACCCCACACTTCCTGTGTTATATTAGGCTGGGGTAAAAAGCGACCCACCGACGTCCACGGTACAAGGCTACTACATGAAGCTCAGGTAAGACTATTTTGCTAGCAATTTTCTCAAAGGAAACGTTATTGTCCGTATCGAACAAAGCAACTACATATTGCAATACTTTTCTGCACGAAAGTCTTCATAGCACACATACGTTCATGTATGCTCTTATTATAATAATTATACCTATTATTTCATTTCATTTATCTAAGATGTTTATACATACTTTATTCGAGGTGCTTTTAATTTTAATAAGTGCGATGTGGTTATAGACACAGAAATACGTTAAATTTAAGCTACTCTTTACGGTATTAAATCGAAATACCTCTCAAAGTGAGACCTAGTTTAGATACAATATTCTTGAGCCTTAATCACATTATAGACTGGATTGTATGTTACAAAGTGTTCCAAACTGTGCAGTTACAAACTACTGACCACACGTTGTATAGGATATAAATATATTTACACCTGAATACTACGAGATCACAGGCAATGTTATATGTTAGATCAAAAAACAAATTTGATGGTACCTAATAAAAAAATAAAAGTCATTCATTACCTAAGCAAGATGTCTTCTAACGTAGAAATCAATAATACAGGTAAACTTCGTTTTTACATTACGATTGTTCAAAAAGGCTTGGTTAAGGGTTCGACTCGTGCATCAAATATCTGATTCAGGGACGATTTTGCTACTAAAAATGTTAATACTTATAGGCTTTTCGTTGTATGAACAAAAAGACAAGGGAATTTAAGACCAAAACAGAAATCGTTTTGCAAAACTAGGTCGAGTACTCATTTACAAATTAACGAAAATGGTAGCCCATCCCATAACTGGCCGAATAGAAGGATGCTTAGCATTGATGATCGCAACTCTAATTACAATCCAAGTGGATTGTCATATCTGCATCACAAGCTGGAGCGCGGTGGCGGCATTATCAAAGGAACAGTATCACAAATGAACCGGCTGACAGTGGCGTCCGACAGGGTTATCACACAAAATAATAATAAAAATACTTCTTTAAACAAGGGACAAACGATTTAATTGATTGATTAAAAGTAGTTTTATTTGATGAGTGCTGTGCGTGAAAACATAGGAAAGAAATACACTAAATATTATTTTGAAAAAACGTTTTGGGGAAGTTTTTTTTTCTGACTGATGATGACATATTAGGACCATTTCAATATGATCTGATAAGAGAGTTGATGTCGTCGAGGTGTGGTTGTAAGATAAAGGAAATAAGTATTTTTTATTTATCTGCTTCTTCGCAATCCCCTATTTATATCGGAATTTTTGCTACGCACCGCATACGAACGTAGCAATCATTGTCACATTTTATTAAAGTTTTGTGAATTTAAAAGAATTCTTGAAATTATTGAGTTCTCATTAAAAAACAACATTAACTATCGGCCAGTGCCGTTGTCATTACTGAGGAGATTATAATGGGTATGGAATACTATATTCCTCATTCTGTTCTCATCAGTAAGGGCACACGTAACCTCTGGTTCAATCACGACTGTGCTGAAGCTGCTTCGCGTAAGCAAGCGGCATATCGTGCTTGGATCAGAGGCCGCGCTCTCAAGGATCCCGAGGTCGATTCACTCAAAGCAGCCTACAATTTTGCTTCTAAGGCCTGTAAGAAGGCTTACAGCAGAGCGGATGTCCAGCGCGTTGCATGTGTTGGCCAGGAACTTATAATGCATCCTACGGGCTTCCGTAGCTACTGGCGTTTGGCCAAGGCCGTGCAAAAAAACTTCTGCATAGCCCTCGCTGCCACCTCTGAGATGCCCAGACGGAACACTAGCTCATAAGCCGTAGGAGAAAGCCGATTTACTGGCAAAACTCTTTGCGGCTAACTCCCGAATTGATGATTGCAATGCACTGCCACCATCATTACCTCACTGTGGCACAACGATGTCTGATATTAAAATCAGGCAGCGTGAGCTTCGTGCCGAATTGCAATCACTCGATGTCCGGAAAGCTAGTGGACCTGATGGCATCCCAGCAGTAGTACTGAAAAAAAGTGCAGCGGAGTTGTCTCCCGTGCTCACGCGCTTGTACCAATGCTCGTATTCTTTGGGGCATGTGCCGGACTTGGAGAGACGCTAACGTGCAACCGATGCCCAAAAAAGGGATCGCTCAGACTCGGCAAACTACCGACCAATAGCAGTCACCTCAGTTTTATGTAAAGTTCTAGAAAAGGTCTTTAATAACCATCTGACCCGCTACCTAGAGGATCACTCCCTGATTAATGATCGTCAATATGGTTTTAGACCAAAACGATCGACGAGTGATCTTCTAGCGTACTTAACTCATATCTGGGGTGAGGCTATCGACATGCGTGGCAAGTCGTTGGCTATCAGCCTTGACATTACCAAGGCGTTCGACAGGGTCTGGCACAAAAGCCTTTTCTCCAAGCTTCCGGCTGTTCTTGGGTAGCTGACTTCCTGCATGAGCGTATAATTCGTGTCCTTACGGATGGTAGCAGTTCAAGGTTCATGTCAGCGAATGCCGGCGTTCCCCAGGGCTCCGTCCTATCCTCCACTCTCTTTCTGCTGCATATCAATGACTTAATTCGTCTTGGGAATATTCATTTCTATGCAGACGATAGTACAGTGCATGCGGGGTATCTCGGACAAGCAGCGGATGGGCAGGTGGTAACCAAGGAGAAGCGGGAGAATCTTGTCATTGAACTTAATCAGGTTTTGGACCACAATTCCAAAGAAAGAAAACTCAGGCTTGCGCTTTCACAGCAAAAACATCGCCATTCCTTCCCCTTCCCTCTCTTCAGGGCACAACACTACCGCTACAGAGCAACATTTCCATGCTCGGTATGGAAGTTCGCTCAGACCTGAATCCAAATAACTACAAAACAGCTTCACGCAAACTCGGTTTCCTGAACAAGGTGCGGCGTTTTTTCACGCCCGATCAACTGTGTTTGTTGTACAAAACGCAAGTGCGGTCCTGCGTGGAATATTGTTCGCACCTCTGGGATGGCTCCGCCAAGTACTTGCTCGATGCTTTGGATAGGTTACAGCGGCGCGCGATCCGCATCATAAACGATGAGGAGGTGACTAAACACCTTGAGCCTCTTCAATTACGCCGTGACGTAGCGTCATTAAGCGCGTTCTATCATCAGTACCACGGCGAGTGTTCTGAGGAGTTATTCTCTCTTATCCCACCTTCTCCTTTCATTCAGAGGACCACGCGCGCTGGCCTACGTTGTCACCGTCTAACTGTGGCCACAATTCCAACACGTACAAAGAATAAAACTAGTTTTTACGGGTTAATGCACGAAATTTTATTTATTTATTGACGTTTCGTGGCCTTTACAGGCTACGTCGTCAGAATCAAACTTTTATTTAACTACCTTAAGGTAGCTCGACAATTTATTTATTATTAGCCTTATTTATTTATTAGCCTGTATAGGCTACGAAACGTCAATAAATAAATAAAGTTTCGTGCATTAACCCGTAAAAACTAGTTTTATTTAATGAGTGATGTGCGTGAAAACCTAAGAAACAAATACGTACAAAGAAATTTGGTGATTCATTTCTTTGTCGCACTATCCGTAAATGGAATGCTCTGCCCGCTCACGTGTTCCCTCCCTCTTACAACCTGGGATCCTTTAAAAGAGGCGTGAAGAAGCAACATGCAGGCCGCCAGGGTGAGGATGGCTGGTGCGGCAGGTAGAACTGCTGTATCAGCTATCTTCGCGTCTGGACTTCACCTTTACTTAGCATCAGGTGGGGTGGAGTCATTTGTCAGATCTATCTATAAAAAAACGGCAGCTCCAGTAAAATACAATAGCTTAATGTGGTTACGTAATTTAGCAACAGTGTGTTATATGACCCAACAAAAAGTCTAGGCAAATTATATCTGAAAAGCCTATCACTAAATACGAGAGATTGATTTATTGAAACTAGTCGTAAATGGGATTAAAAAAATATATTGTTGACAACTCTATATTAAAACGGGAGTCTTGAAAAGACTATCGCGAGTTTTAACGATGACTCCTCAACTTTGATAGCTTTAGAAGGTCCCCTTTTTATTTCTACAAATATTTTACAGTGCATAAACTCTGACCCGGCTTAAAGAGAACTTGTTAAAATATCTAAATCTAGCAATAGCAAATCGCGACGTCAATAACAATAATTTATTAGGTCAAAGATCGTGAAAGTTAAGCAACTTTCACAAAGACCGGTCACAAGATGGTTGTCGTTCCCTTATAATTTAAGAAAACCAAGTATATATCTTAATATATATAAATTACGCGTCAAGTTGTTTGTCCGGGATGAAGTCCTAAACTAATTAACCGATTTTAATCAAATTTGCACACCGTATGCAGTTTGATCCAACTTGAAAGATAGGATAGCTTACGAGTACATCTCAATTTACAGTCGCAATATTATTTTTTGGCAAAATATTACTTTTGGGCGGTACGAAGTTCGCCGAGTTAGCTAGTAAATAATAAAATTTGCCATTTTTGGTTTGCCAAAACTACCCCTAAAGGGGGGATTGGAGGGTGCCGAAGTTTTTATATGAATTAATTTAAACACGCATTCGACTAACTCGAAACTCAGTATTTATATTAAAGATCAGAAATAAATCTGTCACTCTGTTAAATCAATAAAATACGTTTGCAAATACATAAATAAAGGACCCAACCAGGTAAAATTTGCTTTAGAAAATAAAAAAGATGAAGCAAAGATTTACGAAAATGGGAGGTACATTAGTTGTTTAGAGGCGGTATGGCGAACTTTGGATTTTCGATTCATGAACGCTTCCCCATCGTGTTTCATTTTGCGGTTTATCTGGAAAATGGCCAAAGAGTATATTTTAATCAACAAAACCTCGCAGATAAACTTACAAACCCACCAAAAACTACACTTCTTGCCTTTTTTGAGTTGTGTCGTACTGATGATTCTGCAAAAACCCTTTTATATTACCACGTATCAGTTTATTATGTTTGGACTAATTCACGATTCCAAAGGAGGTAACGTCGAGTTAACGTAGATGGATAGCCTGTCATTAAAAAAAAGTAAAGTAAACACTGACGATGCCGTTAATTATCAAGTAGAGTAGATAATACAGAATTGTTGTTAATAAGAAATTTAAAGCCCCCCAAACTTTGCAACGGCACTAGGTTGCAAGTCAAAACTTTGCACCGGAACGTAGTACAAACCACAATTTTGACTGGACTTACGCAGAGAGAAACAGTGTTTATACCACGTATTCCGAATTATTACCAAATGATCTCCCCTTTGAATTTAAAAGGCTCCAGTTTCCCCTGAAGGTGTGTTTCTCCATGATCTTAAATAAGTAGCAGGGGCAAATTCCCAAATTCGCCGGAGTAGACCTACGACAGGATTATTCCTCCCAAGGTCAGTTCTGTGTGGCATGCTTCTGTATAAGTTCACTTCAAAGTTTGGTTTTATTGCTACCAACTTCAAACATGGCAAAAAATGTTATTTGTAAGTATTTATAAGTAAAGTACTTTAACAAATATAAAGTTGTTCAACAACTTTATATTTGTTAAAGCTTCATCTGTTTTATTATCACTTTCTACTTTACACCGTCTGTTTAATATTTAGATATCTGACTTGCAATGACAAATTCACAACAAAATAAAATTTTAGGTAAATAGGAACATAGTAAGCGTAAAAAGTGGTAAAATATTGTGATATGGCATACCAGTTGCATTATATTCAAACTCCCTTATTAATAAATAAGGAATAAGCTTAGACTAGTTACACCGTGTTTTGTTCATGTCACTCAAATGCCATTTGTCATTCAACGAACAAAGACAAAACATGGACTAAGTTATCCAAGCTTATTCTGCGTTTAAACAAGGGGGAAAGTGTTTAAGAACTCCACTGAATGATTTTACATCGTCAGTGTTTAGCACAGTGTTTCTGTTTTTCAAAGGACTTCAACATTTATAATAACTAATTCGTTATCAAACCTTTTACTGTTATTGTAGTGCACAGATACTTTTACTAAGGGTCATTTAAGTCATGCTTTTATCTCGGCACGTTCCCCTTGGTTCTATCGGAAAAGTATGTTGTAAGTCTTCGATATTATTTTTGCCAAAATCAAACGAAATTCAACAGTTTTGCCGGTTCCCATTAATGAATAACTACAGTAATTATTACTACTAATACTGACAAACCTTCTAAAGCTATCACATCGTTGAGTAAACTTTTTACTAGTTATAGTACTTCCATCCTAGACAATCAACTTAGGTTTTTCATAATACTTTTGTAAGTTTCTATGTTAGGATTTATGTATATTTTTACAATTTAACTGGAATTGCACTCATTGTATAGCGCAGGAATGTCCCACTATTTTAATTTAAAAATTACCCCGAATTTGACACATTATTTATGTTTTCAAATATAAAACCATAAACTTTTTTTTGAAATAGTAAGCAGATTGATGATATAGCAGATTTGGTAAAAAATCGTTACCTGAATCACTAAATCCACGCGGACGAAGTCGCGGCCTACTCCTAGCTTTTAGTAAGTAATATTGCAACTGTTTGAGGAACTCGATGGCATAAGTGGTTAGTGCGTTTGGTTTACGACCATGGAAGGTAAGCAACTTTCGCAATGGCCGGTCATAGGATGGGTGACAAAAAATTACGTAGGCAAGTTATGCCGTTGGTCCCGGTTACACAGTGCTGTCATATCTACCAACTTTTTGGTAGATCTACCAATTTTCACTTCAGTCTACCTATCTACCACCCTAGACCTAAAAACTACCTATTTTTTAATTAGTTTGACATATCACCACTTTGAATAGGCTAGTTGACCCTTTTTGGAAAATTGTTTTAAATGGTTAATAAATGTTCTATTAGACCGAAAAAAAATATATTGTATTTTTTTTAAACCTAGAAAGCTACAAATCTTTAATTTTAAAATAGACTTTTCATGGACATACAAAAACGCTGTCGGCCATTTTAGTCTATAGATTATCTATGCTATGACGTGAACTGTGGTAAACAAAAACTCATAAACACGTAGAAAATTACTTTTAACTGAGTTTATAATAAAAAAACATGATTTCTAATTTTATATTACTGTATTGTACGAGAATATAAAAACACATCCTTGAAGACTCCAGCAAAGTTGTGGATTAAAGTGCCGAAAGAAATTAACCTACGCAACTTTATTACACTTATTCATATGTTGTATCAGTTTTATGTTTATTACTACATTGTAATACTAAATGCACTGTACTTACATAGATGCCTTGTCGTTTCTCTGCTCCGCAGAGCAGAAATCGGGGTTTAGTGCAACAAATTCACCAACCATCAATGCGTCAATTCTTGGCAGATTTGTGCTTTCTGCTTTCACAAAGCCCGGCATCCATAATTAGTTTAGTCAAAAAAAACTAAGTTTACTGTTTTTTTCTTTCCTAAAGTTACGTGTTTTAAGATAAATTTAGTCAGACGAAAGAATCCACCTACAGTAACACGCGAATGACATTTAGTTGTTTACCACAAGAGACGTCAAAATCAGTGCGGATGTGGCGAACAGCGTTTTTAGTGTTTAAAAAATATAGAGTAAAAAATATTTTTTGAAATTAAATTTCTACAGCAATCTTCTGCTTTTATGAAGTTAAATCGATATATTAGGGTTCCTTAGATTAAACACTTTAAGAAATAAACATTTATTTAATACAATTCGACATGAGTAAACTAGCCTATTATTTTTATATCGACGAGAGACGTTGCGATGTATTGCGTGAGCCATGCAACGATGCGTCAAGCTACAGTCGAGGCCTTAAACCACAAAAAAACACTGTGGCCTATTCCCGGTTGGTTTGTTGCGGAATCAATGTTGAATCTTTGCTCCTGCTTTATTGTAAAAACTAATTAACTGCGTATTAACGGTGCTAATTGCTGTTTGTTCTATGTTGCACGCATTTATTTATATAATGGATTCTGACAGCAGCGAAAGCGATGCACATAGTTCTAGATTAGGAACTCCGCCAAGAAAACCTAGAATAAGGCACTATGACCAAAAATATTCGAAATTATGGGAGAAAGACAAGGAATTTGCAGGTTAGCTTCAAGAAATTACTAAGGGTGACGGATATTTTTATTGCAAATCATGTAGGTGTGATCTGAAGTGTGCTCTGCATTGCATTGCATGCATTTTTAATCTTAAAAAATCTTCTAAATTGAGGTGGTAGATCTACCAATTTTGCATTTTAAATTCTACCAACTTCTACCAACATTTGGCACATAATCTACTAATTTTCTAAAATTCGGGTTGGCAGCACTGCGGTTACATCTCCTGCCGTTGGCCCCGGTTACATCTCCTATAGTTATCACCCAACAAACAGCACTGAGTCGCGTGGCGGGTCATGGCCCAATCTCCCTATCTATCCACAGCAATGGAGAAATTAATAGGCTTATGATGAAGAGTGATGACCTGCGGAAGCGAAACGTGGTCTTTTATTAAGGGTCTCATAAGAAGGGTCAAAGTCACACAGCTGATTGAGAGAGCGATAATCGGTATTTTACTGCGTGATAGAATTAGAAATGAGGAAATTCAGGACAACTAATGTAACTGACAGCGCTCGAAGGATTGCTCAGCTGAAGTGGTAGTGAGCAGGACACAGCGTAGAGAACCGATGAGCGTTGAGGCAGAAAGGTTCTCGAGTGACGACCACGGATCAGACGATGCTCAGTGGGCAGGCATCCCACAAGGTGGACCGACAATATACTGAAGGTCGCAGGAAATCACTGGATGCGGACAGTTTTGAACCGATCAATGTAAAGATCTTTAGGGTTCAGCAGTGGGCGTCGTATGCTTAAATGATGATTGTAACTGTTTAGGTGTCGACTATTCAACAAGGCGTCTGCCGTCGTTCGTACTGGCAGTACGCTATAACTGATAACATGGTGTGCGCGGGGCGCGGGCGCAGAGATTCTTGCGCAGGCGACTCTGGTGGGCCGTTGCTATGCAGAGACCATGACATGCGGTATTACTTACAGGTAGGTATAAAATGCTTGTGATATGTTTTATGCATTTCATTGCATGCATATATGCATATATATATATATGTATATAAATATAATATAAAGGAATTAGTTTATCACGGATTAATGCACGAAACTTTATTTATTTATTGACGTATCGCAGCCTTTACAGGCTGCTTCGTTGGAATGTTTCAGGCAGTTTCGTGCATTAACCCGTGAAAAACTAGTTTTATTTAATGAGTGATGTGCAAGAAAACCTAAGAAACAAATATATAAAGGAATATTTTAATAATGATTTGTAAAAATGACTTTTGCATACCCGATTAGGGTATGAAAATATTGTTTCAATTGTGTGCACTAACATTTAGCAGTATCACTTAATGCAACAGTTTTGCAATAAAGAATTATTCTATTCTATTCTATTATTTTTATGTCAAAGATTTGGTAAAAAACTATTAATAAGCCGCCCCTCCTGATGGTAAGCGGTACTAATGTATTATTATTAGACCTTGTCCATTTGCGAACCAATGTCGTAGTTTTTCGACATTCACAAGTGCTTGTAACGGCCTAGACTGAATAAACGATATTGATTTTGATGTGTTTTACGGTCGTTTCTAATCGCTATTTTTTATTAATTTAATATATTCTTTATTTCCTTCATTCATCCAAGTTGATCGTAGACTGTACTAACTGAGGATTCTGATCACGCTGTGTAAGACACACACATGGACGATTGTCGTGCTGTCAGTGTTATTTTTAGACATTTTTATTTTATAATTTTTTTTGGGATTACCATCATTCGTACAATATAATTATGTTAAGTGAAGGCTTACATTTATGTGATACTAAATTTACAATTAACAATATTATCCACAAGAGATGCTGTGGATAATGTTGTAGATGAATTTTTACATGGTTAAATATTTACCATGTAAAAAAATCCGTAAAATCAAAGTAATGAACAAAGTATGGAATATATCAGTTAAAAATTCAACCAATTGATTGTTATTTGGAATAAATATAGTTATTAGCAATGGGTTATTCTGTTCACCTCAAAATTTCTGAGTTTCTAAAGCAAGCGAATATTCTTACTGGTATTGAGTATCTAAAAATGTTTTAATATGAAGGTTTCATATTAAAACTTTTTCATTGTATAAGGAGTCTTTATAAGGTTCGTTTAGCAAATTATACGGAGACAAATTGCGTTACGATTAGGTTTCAGGTATGCTAGGCACGTTTGAATCGTATTTATGTTAAATACAATAGAATCCTTTTTTTGTTGTGCTTGTTATTAATTCTCATTTTATTTTACGTCTTAGAAACTCAAGATGTTAAATAATGCAAATGAATTTCTAAATATTATAGTGACATCCTTTGTCCAAGAAACATCCTAATGATATTATGATGATAAAGGTAAGTACACCATCGGCATTTTCCTTGATCTTGCCAAGGCATTTGATTCTGTATCTGTCCCGTTCCTTCTGCGCAAACTTGAAAACATCGGAATAAGAGGCACGCAGCTCAAACTTTTTACAAGTTATTTAGTAGACCGCTCCCAATGCATCAAAATAGGTAATATCGTAAGTGCCGATCTAAATTGTACACCCTTTGGAATTCCACAAGGATCAATATTAGGCCCTACTCTGTTTTTAATTTACATAAATGATCTCTGCAACATTAAAATTAGCAACGGTACTATTATATCATACGCTGACGACACAGCTCTCCTTTTTTCAGCCGAGTCAGAAAGTCAGGTACACATGCATGCGCAACGTGGTTTTAATATTGTCAATAATTGGCTTCAACACAATTTACTAACATTAAATGCAGACAAGACAAATTTTATTAAATTTTCGATGCGTAAATCAAAAGCAAACTACTATAATACAGTTTTATATGCCCATCATTGCAGTTCAGAGCCTTTTAATAATAATTGTGAATGTCCTGCCATTAAAATTACAGACAAATTAAAATATCTCGGAATAATTTTAGATGAAACCCTGTCTTACAAACACCACATTACTGCAGTAACTAACAGAATTCGTAAGCTGATAATGATCTTTAAAAAACTGCGCAATATTGCAAACTGTAAAATAATTAAACAGGTATACTATGCTTTATGTCAATCAATACTAAAATATTGTATCACGTCATGGGGTGGAGTGGGTAAGACATTGCTGCTAACTCTTGAGAGAGCCCAAAGAGCAATCCTTAAGGTTTCATCTTCCCTACCTTTCTTTTATCCCACATATGAACTTTATAAAATTCATAAGGTATTAACAGTTCGGCAACTGTTTATAATGAACATCGTACTAAAACAGCACGTAGCTGTACCATACTATGTTGAACTTATTTCTGGTAAAAGACGCAAGGATCTAGTTTGCCCCCAGAAATATGGAAGAACAAAATCAGCTTTTGCATCCAGATTTTTCACTTTCCTAGGACCACTGCTCTACAATAGACTAAATGCAATAAAAAACATATATCCCTTAAATTACAAAAATTGTAAAATAAGCCTACAAGAAGCCTTACTATGCATGTCCTATGAAGATACAGAGAAGTTATTAGTTGTAGTTAAGTAGCATAAGGATATAGTTGTGAGAAGTGTTCGTTTCTCTTGATATTATTATTCTTGAATCTAGTATATTGCATCATTTTAGATTAGTTTTAAGTTAATTATATGTGTAATGTTTTACCAAATTTACTGTAATTTACCATAAATAAATACACATGTAATTTTAATGGAAATTAATCGCCCGTTTCCGCCTGAAACACAGGATTTTCTTAGTTCAGGCGCATGTTTTGTTATACCTAAGCTAAAATTGTACTTTTAAGTTATTATTTTTGTACTAATTGTTAAAATAAAATTTTATTATTATTTATTATTATTATTATTATAAAAAAGAGGTAACAAAAAAGTTTTACAGTAGAATTAACAAAACTTAATTTTGATTCTAAATTAGGTGAATTAACGGACGGACGTGTTTGTGGTCGACAGTTCAGCATCGAATCAAAGGAATTATTAATGTTCTGAGGGAAAGAAATTCAGTGGAACTGACAAGTTCAATAAATTATAATTTATTATCAAATTCAAATTAGTAAGTCTAAGGGCCCGTATTATAGAAAGATTCTCAGTGATTAATCTAGTCTTGAGCATAATTAAAAAGGGATGTCGCTATATATAGCACATACCGACATCCCTTTCTAACTGTACTCAAGTAAAGATCAACACTTAGTTGTCATTCTGTAATACGGTCCTAAGTGAGTCAGTTAAATGCTTAAATAATAATAAAATCTAGTATTAGTCGACGAAAAAAAATTCTTTAGCAACATGAATAAGCTTAAGAAAAAGAAAGAGATAAAAAGTCGTCATTCACTTGAGATAGTCGAAGCTCGTAAAGGGCGTGGGTTACATGTGTTAGTATGAGAAAAAATCGTGTTTTCCCAAATTCGGAGTATTTTGTTCACGTTGTTTATGAATGGTTACCGACAGACTTTTTAATCTTGTCACGTAGTTGAACACGCAGATAAATACTGATACATTACGTCAGTTTTGTAGACAGGGCGAAAAAGTCATTTTCCGGCAATAATAGTTTTATAGTAAAAACAGTTTTATATGTCTATTTTCACTGATTTGTACTAACGGCGAAAGTGTATAAGCCTCAATACTACAACCGACACCCGAAATATAATTAGAAACCGGCAAAAATAATGCTTTATAACAGTTAAACATGTCTAATTGACATGTTTCGTCGCATCGTTTGTTCAAAGTTGTTATCTAATAGTGGCCACCAAGTACCTACAACAGATTCTAGAATTACCCTCTCCGATAACACAATAGTGGCGGAATTACCGTGGACCAGCTCTACAACTTAAGTAAAAATATGTTATCTCTGTGAACAGATTACGCATAAAATGAATGTGGTTCTGTGAATATGAAAATATACGAGGAGCTGGCGAACAAAACGGTATAATTACATAAAATTAAATTTTACTGGAGATGTATAAAACTGAATACTACAGACATACTATACTATACATACTATACTTACTGTGAGCTTTTGGCATGGCTATAATTTATAAATTTAGTAATTTTAACACTGTTTTAAGGGGTTTTGATTGAAAATTATTTGACATTTTAATTCAACGGGCCCGAAACCTCTGGAATGTAAATGTAGTTTGATCAGATGCGTAATTTTACCGTTTTGTTCGCCAGCTCCTCATATGATATAACGAAGAAATATATTTTGATGGTATTAAAGAACGATACACGGTTGGTTCGTATCTTTAGTTCCTAACTGACCAACCAGACGAATACGGTCGACGGTTAGAAATATTTATTTATTCCTAACGCCCACCTAGGTGGGCAGCTGGTGGTCGGTTCGGAACGCGGGATAAAAATTGCAGTTGCGCGATCTGCGTTTCATTTTCAGCCTCAGACTATTAAATATTTCATAGCAATAGCTGGCTGACACACACCGATTCTGTAACATGCAGGCTCACTTTCAATTTCGTTTTTTCGAATTTTTGGCAATTGTGAAATAGGTATTTAATACTGGCTACTTCATCCTTCAACAGCGGTTGCGACATTTTACCATGTAATGACGTCATGCAAATTTAACTCACGTCTAAAATTACACGTACTCAGGCGACAGGTCTGTAGTTATTATATTCATACCTCTTGAGGACATTTGACCTTTCAGTACGCCGTGTCGCCGCCACAATATACAAATGTCTTAACAAATACAAAAACTCTTTATTAAACACCACGAAAAACATTGAACATTAAGCACAAAAACATTTAGTACAGGTGATGCAATGGGCGGCCTTATCGCTTAAAGCGATCTCTTCCAGGCAACCTTAGGATGGAGAGGATTAGAAGGATATGGGAGAGTAGGCGGTGTAAATCGCTAGTATAATATAATCTATTAGTAATAGTAAATACATACATACATCATACAGATATATATACATACATATATATATATATATATATGTATATATATATACATATACATATATAGATACTATTAGTATAAACACAAGTACATACATTGATCCAGTCCAGTTTTTAGAACATTTGATATTAAAAACAAAAGTATTACAATGTAAGATAGTGGGATACAATGTAATACAAAAAGTTTTTCTTTCAAGGGAATAACGAGCTTCGGTGATGGCTGTGGAAAGCGCGGCAAATATGGCATCTACACTCGCACCGCTGGATACGTCAGTTGGATGAAAGAAATTATGAATAACAAGTACTTTGACTGAACTTAAGAAATAATGCTTATATTCTTAAGCCCCAATGAAATTGCTGTACTTAATCGCTCCGATAAATATAATGTACCTATGAAATTGTTTTCTTTTTGTCACTGTTGTTATGACATTTTAAGAATGAATATAAAAATGTAGTTTCTACAAAAAATACAAGAAATATGACGGCAGAAAATAACAGTTAGGGTATTGTAAAAACCTTAAGCTATAATATGAAAAACTTCTCGAGAAGCACAATTTCAAAGGTAGCTTCTATTTTAATATCGACTAATGACAATTGCGATACCTACTACTGAACAGTTATTGTTCAGATATACCTTTGATATTATAAATAAAATCATTTGTTACGTAAAATATATTAAAGCTTAAGAGCTGAAATTAATCACAGCATTTCAACAGTTCCGACATTTGAATGAGGTATTTGAGAATGAGATGATGAGCTTGAGTGGAATAGAAAATCAAGAAAATTTTATTTCAACATTTACTTTGAACTTCAAGTGTTATTATTAATTTTAATGAATATTTTTGAAGTGAAAACTCTTTAGCGGCGTTGTATACTTTTTTTGTGTGGGTAAAAAATGTTAAACTCACGTCAGGTTTTAAACACGTGGGCTGATCGCATCATGACACACAATAAAATTGGAAAAGTTGTTGACTTTCATTATATTGGACGAAACATAGTAATATTTTATTTTATCGTATTATAATAATAAGTTTCTATCTAGGACGTCCACGTGGCAGTTTTATTGCGAAGAAAATGCATTTTTTTACAATAGATGTCGCTAGGTGCGCTTAAATGTGATTCATGTAAGTAGATTTCTTTACAATAGATGTCGCTAAGTGCGCTTAAACGTGATTCATGTAAGTTGATTTTTCTGAGAGATAAACTTTTTTAATGTAATATAAATTGTCATGTTTGTGTACGATAGCCCAATAAATAAATATTGTATTTTACCACATATATAATAGTACTTTTATACTGAATAATTAAAGCAATTCGTGCAAAATTATTCCATAACCATTCCAAAATATCAAAAATGCACAAAGTTAATATTCAAGTTTTCTCTTCTGCCGGCACTCCCGGAGTGGAACCCGTCGTTTTTTTTTGTAATAAGTATGTCCAGTCCAGTGAATAAATTATTGTTTATATCAAAGCATTATCCCCCTTATTAATAAACTAATGGCGCGATTACACTTTGTCGCTAGCCCGAATACGAGTGGCAATGGAAATCTGATAAACAACTAAGTGTAATGAACGGAGTCGAGTACGCCCGTATTCGGGTAGATTTCCTTTTGTTTACCCGACACCGTCTTCCAGCGCGTATTCCAGTGCAAATATTCCTTTGGGCGGCCGAATGCCATTAATGTTATATTTTTTAAGCTTTTAACTGCTAGATGTTTAAATGTAAAGAAAAGTTTACTACTTACAAAAAAATCCACGCGGAACAGGCAGCAGACCGCACTGGAACCAGCACCCTTCGCTATCTGGGCGAATGCACTAATCATTATGCTACCGTGGCCCTGAAGACCTTGTCGAATTTTCTCCAGCCTTTCGTGCACCCGAATACGGGCTAACGACCAAATGTAATTGCGGCATTAGACTAGTTACGCCGTGTTTTGTGCATATCACTCAAATGCTATTTGTCATTCAACGAACGGAGAAAAAACATGGAGTAACCAATCCAAGCTTATTCTTTGTATATTTATAAGGTATATGTACTGTTATACGAAACTAATGTGAGCTATGGTGTAAAAAATATTATATGACTTTATATAACCGTAAATAATTCTTAAGTGTAAAAAGCAATGAATCCTTTTATGTCCCATAAAACATTTTGATGGCCTACAGTTTATACCTGAAGTTGAGTAAGAATGAAGAGTATGGTTTCATGAAATGCTAATTGTTTTCCTAAGCATAAAATTGGTAATATAAAATTCGGAGGAACGCACATTGTTTTTATTAATTCTTCTCTAATTATTCAGAACCAACATTTTATTGTAAAATAACAATAGGGGTGATGACGGGGTACAGTAAACGAAATTCTATTTAGTCCGTCAGTTAGATGATCAAAAAATAATGGACACGTATTTTTTCTTTGGGCAATCAACCAAAAAATGACAAAGTCACGGTAATATTATCTATACAGTATTGTGACTCGGCCCTGTCCTTGAAATAACTGCCTACGACCGAGCGACTTTTCAAATCAGTATATCTCTGCAATGATTATATTATGTGAAAAAAGAAAAAATACGTGTCCAATACTTTTTGATAATTTACCTGATAAACGAAGAAAAAAATAGTCATCATCCCTATATATGTGTTAGAAAATAAAGTCTCTCTAAAACACGTAGTGTGCTTATTTTTCACCTTTGAAAAAATATTCTATACTTTTATTTGAAATAACAATAAAATCAAGTGGGAGGTTCAAATCAGTTCATGCTGCTCGTTATCGAAGAATCCATAAACTTTTAAAATACATTAAAATTTCTATTCAAAGAAAGGTAAAAGGAGTAAACAAATCTTTTGAAATTACAAATATTTATTTGTCGATTTATCACAACACGAATAAAATTGTAAAGCAAAGACAAAAACAGACACAAAATATATAAAAAATAAAAGTAGTTTTAAGTTTCACCACACTCGTCATTTTTATTGTATGGATTTATATGTCTATATTGAAAGAATCGGCGTTTTCCGGTTCACGAGCCACTTCATGGATCCAAGGTACGAGCCGCCACACCCCCGTGTATTGAGCAGATTGTATACCCCAAGAACGCCTTTCTTCCTGTGACACCATAAAAATCCTTTTAAAGGAAAACAGGTCTAAAAATACATGTAAAAACTTTTTGAATTACATGTATTGAACCTTTTTGATACACAACTTTAGCTATTTTATCCATTTGTTATCCAGAATAAAGCATTTATTAACTTAAAATTGTTGTTTATTATATTTTTATTTTAAGCATTTAACTGCTAGATTTATAAATCTAAAGATTTTTATCAATTAATGCACACTTTATAGATTTTATTTTACGTTCTCGTAGTATAATTGGTAGATTAGTAATGCAGCACGAAGATAAGTTTAAGGCAAATGAAGTTGCGAACACCAGCTGGCAATTTATATAAATGTATCGAGACACTAGTATTACAGAAGTCGAATAAGAAACTTGCTTAAAAGAAGAAAAATATCCTTATAGTACAGTCATTTGGTGAGAAATATAGTGGTTACCTGGAAAGTCTTCCGGGAGTTTTGAAAACTGATAATTTTATAAATTTTGAGGTGCTCCTTCCGAATTCGGACTTTGCCACCTCGTATTTTTGCCACTCGCGCCGCCATATTGAAAAAATGGCGCCTGGTTGGGCGTTTTATTATGTGTGAATTTTGTACATCAACAATGTTCGCATTTGGCTTTTGAATTTGCAATATGCTCGCTGACGCCACCTAGTGTTCGATCTGCGAACCTGTCCAGATGGCAGATATGTGGGTACTGCGAATATTGTTATGTGCGGGTACGCGAACTTAATAACGGTCGTTGGTTCGTCATTTTCCAACGGCCGCTCTCTGCTGTGTTAGATTCCGTGCAGATAGGTCGTACGCAAATAAAGTAAAACGCAGCGCGTAATTATCTCGAAAATCGCGTAGAAGATTGCAACCGCACCCAGAGGAAGAAAGAAGGAGCTGCATCGGCTGTGCCCACGCCAGCAAGCCCGATAAGGAGGCAGAGAGACATCCAGGTGAGTCGTTGGTGACATTGCGCAGATTCAATTTCCACTTGGTTCATTGTGTTGATGTTTCTTTGTGTCTAGGCAGCTCATACGTAATAATTCGCCTGCCGCACACATATATAAACCCGCAATCCAGTGGATGGCTATTTACACGTCCTACCATTTCTTTGGTCCATTCGAGCAGGATTCGTACTAAAGGATCCAGTGTACCCGCTTTATAATTATTTCCCGCTTAATTTCTTTCTAAGAGAGGTAGGGCATAGCGGATTTTCCGCTCAAATTGGAGCGCCCGTCTGGGGAAGATACCTCCACCTTACAGAAAACCGCAGTGAAGCTTCACTACCTTTGGTGGTGTTGTGTTTCTGTCGCTGAGTAAGGTTACAGGGCTCCACGGGGTAGAATAGGCAGCGACCGAGTAATCTCCGGTATCGCAATTGCCTCCAATTATTATATATATACATTGTTAACCCGCTTACATTCATATCTATATAATTACTCATTACATATTTTCACTTTACGTATTAATTGGTAATGTGACGCATCATACGCATTGCAATAATTGCAAGTCATTTCCGCCATTTTGTTGTACCCGCTAATTTGTCTTAAAATTTTTGAATAAAAGCAGTTTTTGGACAATATCTCCTTTCCGACTTATTTTACGATACAAATAGTTGTATAAAAACCTTTTTTTATAAAGTCAATAGTTTTGGCGTACGAGCGCAGCAAAGTATACTCCAACGCGTATTTTGGTATTTTTCTATTTTTATTAACTACTATTTTTCGTAGATAATTTGCGTACGCTTTCCAGGTAAAACTACCAAATGACTGTATTATTATTGTTCGTAGATACCTATAGATTTCACCAGTAGAGTAAACGTTTTAGTATTATATGTTATTAACAAATGGAAACTTTTAATAGATATGACGTAACTAACTGCACGCGTAATGGCGATATTAAATAATTCTCCTTAAGGGGTTAACAGGACAGGATGGTTTATGGAGGGGGATAGATATAAAAAATCTATCAATATACAGCCCCCCCGGCTGTAATATGTATATTGATAGATTTTTTATTAATTTTCTTTAATTGGCGCATAGTTTTTAGGTCAGACATTTAAACACAGTAAGCAATACGTATACGTATAATTACCAGGAAAATTGTTAATCGTTATCGATTTGTCTTTATTTGACAGAGAGTCCATTTTGGTTTACATTACATTTTTATATATTGATATTATATATGCTAAAAGTGTCTGTCTGTTACTTCTTCACGCTTAAACCGATGAACCGGTTACCGGTGAAATTAGGGATAATTTAAAAGTGAAGTAGATAGTTACGCGCCAAAAAAGTTGAGTAAAAAAATATAACCGCCGCAAGCCCGACGAATTCACGATTGCAAAACATTTGCATAACATAATAAACTTTTAAAATATATTGTAATACTTGTTGTTAGTACTAATCATACCTGTATGTACAGGGCTATCAATTTCCCTCCAACTAATAGCATACTTCCATGTACAGGGTCGTCGTCTTCACCTCTGTACGGTGGTAAAAGTAAACAGTAAATGTTTTTGGTGACACCTGCTTCATTCTTAGATTTCATTTCACTGAAGCAAAAAATGGATCGACAGTTATAAGGACTTGTAATTTCAGTTTAATCTAACTGAACGAATAATTTATTACGGCTTGAACGAAGCTTGCTTATTATGTGTTACAAAATGGAAGAAAAATCAGAACCGATTTTCTTTCATGATCGACTACTTAAAATTAAATCGTCTTTATCAATAGACAGGTACGGCATTGTAATTTTTTAGAGAGAAATAAGAAAGAGCTGTATAAAATAACAAATAAATAATGATATTTCATCAGAAACGGTAGTCGATAATAATAAAATAATATCATATTTTTTAATATTTTACTGTAAAATGTTATTATATTTTTTAAATCGATTTTCATATGCAAAGCTCAAATAGTAGTATGTCGGAGAGCGACTATTTACTTTGTCATAATAATGTTTCACACACACTTTACTTCAATAATTACATAATTACACTTAAATAACGTAACAACCGAGCAGCGGGGTTCGAGGTACCAATCTGACTTCACTGAACTACTGTATCACCGTTCTAGTAATGAACCGCTACGATCAGTTCCTCGCTTTTAAATCTTAGATTAAAACAAAAAGGGTAGATACGGCACTAGCCTCACAAAAGTGATCCACACCAATTGTGGTCCACGACCCTAATCGCTTTAGTCACAACTTGACATACAAACGACGTACATGTGAACGCCAAAAAGAAATATTGCTAATATTTTGTGTTTATATGATAAAACAATGCCTAAGTGTGTTTTTAATAAGTGCTCAAATTGCTCAAGTACTAAAAATAAAACCCAAGGCATCACTTTTCATTCGTAAGTACTATAAAATATATTTTTTCATAAAAAATGCTGTTTATTTTGAATCTTATTCGGTAGTGACGTCGAGTACTGGTCGCGTGATTGGTCGGTAGTGCAGTGACGCGGATCTCGCCGTCTCGTTCGCGCTGCCGTTGAAACTTAACGTGCTGTTTCGTTCGGGTCGGTAATGCAGTGACGCGGGTCTCGCCGTCCCGTTCGCGCTGCCGTTGGATCAGTTTTTGTTTGATGCAAAGTATGAGCGTACCGTATCTACCCTTTTTGTTTTAATCTAAGTTTTAAATACGCGCTAAAACTACCTCCCCAGATGTGAAAACCAAGATGGCGCCTCGACCCCACTCGAGGCACGTGCTCTGCTCTGATTGTATGAGACATAAGTTGATTAATTTGCGATTTTTATTAAATTGCTAAGTTACTGAACAATACAAAAAACGAAATTAATTAAATCAAATTAAATTAACATTTTATAATCTATAATATTTATTTTTAAGCTTGATGCTTAAGTCTAAAGAAAATATACAACAGTCCCGTCTGCTGCCTGGTCCGCGTGGAATTCTTCTAGTTTTCTTTAGATTTTATAAAATTATTTAAAATGCAAACAATAGCCTTTTCCTCCGACAAGTATATTATTTGTGTATGTGGAGCCTCCACAGGTTGAAAATTTAAGCTTGAAACAGTGTAACAGGATTGCAATGAAGGATTCTGTGTTTACTTGAGTTTATTAACATAATCAGCTTTATTGAGTTCTATTCGACGCTTCTTTCCTTGTTCGGGGTGAAGCTCGCGAAAAACAACCTTTTTCTGAATGCAAATTTAAACATTGATTCTAAAACTTCATAATTTAAGCTTCAGTTATAGAAGTTCATCAAAATTTAGGATTTTTCAATAAATCTATAAACATTTATGACAAGTAATTTTTTAAATGTCCTATCCCTTTTATCACAGTTTTTATACCGCTTTCTTAGAGCTTAAAATGAATATGGTCATTATTCTTATTTTCTTCCTATAAACTTTCAACTTCATCGCTACAACATTTGTGGCCCCATTGTTGTGTGGCAGATTTCCTACGGATGACCACTTACATCAGAAGGGCTGCCTACTGATGTAAGTGGTCGGATAAAATATGGTACAGCAAAACACCATTGATAGCGCCTTTCTTTAATAGCAAGGACACCGAAATTCATAATGCAAGTGTAACCACTATTTTGGTTTTGACTGTACTTGGTCCATATCACATTACCCTTATGAAAAGTGTTAATGGTTCTTTGAGACGAGAAACAGGTTTACTTTTAGTTTAATATTGGGGAGCGAAGTCGTGTAGCGTAAGTATCGTACATACATAGGTAAAATATTAGTCTGCATTAACCTATAACCACCTACTACCGGTCTCAGAGATCGCACCAAATTTTAGAACCATAATTTTTCTACGTGTGCTGGTCGTGCATTCGCGAGCGACCAATGTACTTTTTCTAATCACGTAGTATCGAACGTGTACTCGACGGATGCACGGGTTTCTCTAAGTAAAAATATTTCGCCAGCAGTCTCTATGACCCCACGTAGGTAGTTGTGTAATTTATTTATATTAAGATATTGTCATAGTTTTGATATTAAAATATTTAATATATAATTTTGATGTTTAAATATTGGAAGGTGGCATTTAGAAGGGTTGTCAGATAAAGAGGTATGCCGGACGAGGATTGTTGTGCCATAGAATCCTTAAGTGAGGGTCTCGAGCAGTGTGAAATGAAGGATGATAATCAAATTGAAAAGTCTGACATGTGATCCATAAAATAAGCTACTTAAAACACCTGTTTTAGTTCAAGGTAGCAAAACAATTTACTGTCACGGCCGCAAGTAATTTTAATTAATAAGGAATTGCATCTTTTTCTTTGAAAATTATTTTTCAATATTTGTTTCTTTAATTTTTTGTTCAATCACTTAAAGAACGAAAACAATACAAAGAAATTAAATAATCATATTTTTTTTTTACTATTACTATATTATTTGTACCAAAACTGTTACTTCGCTTTAAATTAAGTATAATATAAGATTTATATTTATATGATTTTTTATACGTGGTTCTAAAATAGAGTTCTAGAGTATAAAATATTATTCTGTTTCATTTTTATTTAATTATTACTATAGTAACAAAAGATAATATAATAAGTCATAATCTACCAGGGGCCTCTGACTACACGTAGGTTAAGGGTTAATTAAAATAACGTTGATTTGTACAGAAAAAAAAATGGTTGCCTGTAAAGTCGGTTTTACGGGCGAAGATTTTACGTGACAACGTCTTTTTCTCGGTAGAATATTTATTGATATGAATATAATTAAATTGCACAATAGGAACAAGGAATTGAATGAAAATAAGAATTGCACAAATTTTAACTATAGAAATATATTTTGTTTACTAAAACATTGTACATGTAAACTTAAACTTAACACGAGAGACTCATCGTAACGTTACCGAGCGTTACACTTTTTCATAAGTGACTCCCAGCCGCAACCTAATTTAAGACGTTGTCACGTCAAAAAAATTATGTGCAACTAAAAAAAGCTGTTATTGTAATTTTAATACTCATTCATTATACATGTTTTTACCTGCATGTTTTTGTAAAATTGATAATGTAAATGTTTTTATTTGATCATCAAATACATTATTCCTATAGCAAAAGTTATGCCGCAGTAAACAATAACGTTTTTTCATATGGGTAACGTAACCACTAGTGCTATCTTTGGACACTAAGGCCGCGTTGTTTCATCTATAGTTAAATTTCAACATCGTTAAAATACCAGAGTAAAAAATAACATTTGTCTAAATTTTACACGTTTCCTATGAATTTGACGTGACATTAACTATAGTTAAATTTTACTATCGATGGATGACGGGGCCTAAGTAATTTAATCAAAGAATAAAAAATTCTTCTTTCTATTTTATTTTACCTGTAACCTGTATCACCAGGGCAATATGATGAGTAAGTAAGTGCCTTGTAAATATGCAGCGGAATTTTAGGCACATGTGTTCCGAAATATCTGACATCATATCTGAAAAGGTTAAAATATCATTGTTATTTTAAAAAATCCTACGCATTTTTTTATTTATCATTATAAACAGTAGTAACATCTTTTATTTTTACAGTATTAGAAAAACCATAGAGATTTGTAACAGTGCTAATTACACGTCAGGGTTTAGATTAAATATTTAATTAAATACAAAGTACTGTGTTTAAAGGATACTGTTAGGTGCATTCCAAGGTCTTAAAATAAAAGTGTTTCTACTTGTATTTTACATTCAATGGTGTGAGGCAATTGACTGAATTCGCGGGTAGTTGGTTCTTCATACGCGGGATTAGAAAGGCAGAAGTTCTTTTACCGTACATGTTATTTACTCGCTTCGTACAAAGCTGGTTTCGAGCAATAGCACGAGTAAAAACAGATAATTAGCTTTTTGCTTGAGACATTCATTAAAAAAGTTTTCCTTTAATAAATTTAATTGAAATTGAATGTGGACTGATTATATTTGATAATGACTAAATAATTTCATACCGTTACCAAAAACTGTCTTTTTATTTTCTTGCTTACTATATATAGCTTTTATTATTTTTAACTGTTTTGTAAGTTCTCTCATAACTACTAAGCCCTTAACGGATGTAAGAACCAGCGAGTGCGTTATACAACATTACCCTCACTTTAAATGGAATTAGTTCCTTTAAAATTATCATGTAAGCTTAAAGCTGTCTCAATTTATTGCAGACGACGTGTTCAATATGGAGACTTCAGAGAAATTTGCTATCTATTTTAACACTAAGATATGTGTGTGAATGAACGACTTCAATAACTGAGCAGTTACATGTCCTATACCTACAAGTGCGGGAGCAGTCGTGAGCATGAGCAATTAAGTTTGTTTACTTAGCGATTGCAATAAAGTCAGCCTGCAGTTTATCAAGCGCTTCTTGTGGAGCTTTATCAACCACTATGAGGCAAGCATCATCTGCCAGTGAAGACATTTGCACTGCTTAATGCATGAATTCATATTATTCGCGTGTGATAAAAAGTAAAGAGGCCCTAGTATGGATCCTTGAGCCGCACCATGCGTCACCATAATGGAGTCACTTAGGTCGCTATAAATTTTAACATTTCAATAAAGGTCCTCCAACACCACAAACATCTAGCTTTTTAATCAATTGTTGATGATTTAAGGTTTTAAAAGCTTACTTGTAGCTTTTTGTAACAAGATACTTGAGTTTATAGGCTTACTATGATTTACTGGATTATTACAATGCAGGTATTTCTTTTTACAGAATTTTCAAAAGTAACAAAGGTTTGAGCTAATGATTTCTTGGAAAGCGCCTGAGTTTAAAATGCTTTAATTATTACACTGTCAATTGAGTGGTTAATACGACCTAGCATATGGTTTAATATTTTATAGACCTTTCTAGTGTTTTTAAAATTTTCTTTATTTTGATTTGTATAATAAGTATTTTTCTTGATCCCCAAAACTTTATGTAATTATATCTAGTTTAGTTGTATTGTAATCTTAAAGATGGATTTCCACCACATTTCCACAAGCAAAAAAGTTTATTACACTTCTCACACAGTCTTAAAACGTTATCATATATCTATCCACGGCACTTTAAAAGTACTGTATTATTTTTTAATATAAAATTATTGTTAGTTGACGCCTTTGTTATTTATTGTAAAAAGAAAGTTTTGATTAAAGTCTAAATTTTATTAGGACATTCCATTTAGGCCGCACACGGGCCACACGCCACAGCCACAAACGCCGCCACAAGAAGCTAGAAGCGGAAGTGGCTGAAGCGCGCGACAGCGGCCGACTAAGGTAAGGGAGAGAGGGGTGGAGAATCGCGCGAATGACGTGCGGCGTTTTGTATCGGCGCATTAAGTGGCCGGTGCGGGTCACAAGAAGCGATCAACGACGATTTGTAGCGTGTGGCGGCCACCGGCGTACCGTGTGTGGCGAGTTCATATATAATGTATGAAAACTACAAGAAATATGCCGGTGGCGGCGTTTTGTTTTTCCGTGTTCCACCATCCATCCACGACCATCATCATCATCATCAGCCTATTAATGTCCCCACTGCTGGGGCACAGGCCTTCCCTATGGATGGAAAAGGGAGATTTCGGCCATGACCCACGCGCGGGCCCGGTGCGAATTGGTGGGTGCTAACGACTGCAGATGCAGCCGGGACCAACGGCTTAACGTGCCTTCCGAAGCACGGAGGAGCTCGTGATAGTAAATTTTTCGTCACCTATCCAATGACCGACCACTGCGAAAGTTGCTTAACTTCAACGATCGCAGCCGAACGCGCTAACCAAATGCGCCATCGAGCTCCTCCTTGGACCATACAACGCTCGTATTTGGGGTTCCGTACCTCAAAAGGAAAAAACGGAACCCTTATAGGATCACTTTGTTGTCCGTCCGTCCTTCTGTCAAGACCGTTTTTCTCAGGAACGCGTGGAGGTATCAAACTGAAATTCATATCTAATACTCAGGTCTAGTGTCCCTTAGAGCTGTGAAAAAATCAAACTTTTAAGCAAAAGCAATCAAAAGATACAGCCGTTTATGCCGCAAATTTCCGCAAATTTTCGATACTCGCACGGGAATCAAAACCTACAGGGTACTTCCCGTGAAGTAACTTCTTATAGTACAGATAAGGGAAAAATTGCGAAAACCCTAAATTTTTAGTAATATCATATAATAAAAAATATTTTTTAATAATTATTAAAATATACCTACAGGTTTGTACGGGATTCGGGTTCGTTGCGCGAGTCCGACTTGCACTTGGCCGGTTTTTTTTTGGTTTTTTTATAGCCAGGAAGGCAAATGGCTCTAACCCTCCTGATGTTAAGTGGTGATAAAGTCCAAACGCGAAGAAAGTTGATACATCAGTTATAAAGTTATAATTCTCTTTAATTTATTAAATAATAAATCGTGGTCAATTATTGTTCTTGAAACACCCTGTACGCAAACGTTGGTTATATCGCTAGAGCAGCAAAAAAATATTGCCCAGTGGTTGGCTAGTACTAAATCATGGAGTACTTTTTTATTACTACGTCAAGCGTCGCGTCGCGCGTCGCCGTACAGTGGACGGAAACGATCAAAACTACGCGCGAGGCAGTAAATCTAATCCAAATGAAATCATTTTTTTTTAATACTCGTAATTATGTCTGCTTTCTTGTAGCACTACGGAAATTCACTTTTTAGAGGTAGAAACCACCCCTATCAACCCCTAAGCAGGCTAAACCACCAGATTCTGGGTAAAACGAGATCGATCAACTATATATTTATAAGGAAATATATATAATAAAATAGCCTATCTGTGTATAAAATATATATATTATCAATAATAAACAAATGAGTAGAAAAGAGGGTTTTGATGGAACATTAAGCTAAGCCAATTTAATCAATAATCACAAATTCCTACCTGTCTAGACCCCAACCAACGGCTGCGCCTAAGGTTCCTCCTGAACTTGCTGCAAAATGGTGAGACATTATTGATATAGGGCTCCAGTTAAAGCAAGCAGATGCCATCGATCCTGCTATCTGAATAAGACCTGTAACAATTTGAAGGAATACTTAATGAAAGCTTTTTTATCGTTATAATTTTATGTTTAAGCATATAACTGCTCGATGTTTAAATCTAAAGAAAATATTACCAGAAAAAAATCCACGCGGACCAAATATTTATCCCGTCTGCCTGGTCGGCGTGCAATTTTTTCTAGTAATATTGGCTTTAGATTTAAGCTTTTTTATCCATTTATATTGATCAACTTGCACAAAAATTACAACGTTTGAGACAATTCGATTTGATAGGGCATTAGTTCTCAACCGTGAAATAGAAGAAAAATTTACTTACCCTTCATATTAATCGATTACATACGTACCTATGTTGTACATATATCTCCTTATCTCATCATTGGGGTGGTATCGCGGATGCACAATAATATACTTCACATAAATAACTCGCTCTGGCTGCCACCAATTTTCACTACAGTAAGACACAAAAGCCGATCGTCCTTCGTTTACTGGGTCCTGACTGTGGTAGCGAGAGAGACATGCTCCAGAGGCAAGTAGCCAATGAGGACTCAAGGCCGCTGCATCGCAATGGATCTGTCCCAAATGCAAAAAGTATAAAGAGCTAATAAAATGACGAAGACAACTTGATTTTATTATCAGCGCTTACTTGAGATGGTTCGTAAATATAAACAGCAGCAAAAGGATAATTAGACCATAAAACTGGTTTGCTTGCATTTCTCGCAGCTGCCAAAGTATAATTCGAGGACTTCTCCTCATCTGTCGTAAAAATATGAAGTTTGCTTGTAGATTTCTGGTATTTATAGGTGTGATTTTCAGAATGCATTTGAAATTTTATGTTCGTCAGCTCATCAATGTTGTTATTATTTGTTTTGTGTTTGTTGTCTTCTTTGATATCGTCATGAACGTGCTTCTTAACATGTTTTTGATAAAGCCCGTCGTGGTGACCGATATTCTTATTTATATCTTCGAGTAATACTTGTTTAGAATCAACATAATTTTCTTGGATCTTATTTTCTGAACCTCGGCTGAGAAGTATTAATTTATTTTCAGGCGATTGAGTATGTTGGTCATAAATTTCAAAAAACTTAATTTTGTCATAAAATTCCGTAGAAGTAGTATCATATTTAATAAAATTATTTTCTGATGACAGTAAAGCAGTGGAATTTTCATGGATAATATCAAATGTGGCTGGGCATGTTTCACCACTATAAGAATTTTCAGAACTTGTTGCCTTTGAAGTGGATTGAATTTTTGCCAAAATGGCACTTTTAGATTTGAGTTTATTTCTTATGAAATCATACATGGATTGTTTGTCATAAAATGTTTTACTGTGCAATTTTGGTTTCTGATGAAAATTAGGGTTACTCGTTTGTGAAGGTGGAACGACTAACTGAAATCCGGGTTTATTAATATGGAATGACTGGATAGGGTACCGTTCTCGTTTTTTGTTGGTATTGTCTCTAGTGAGATGTCTTGACTGTGCTTTGTGCTTTTCTCTTGAATAAGCTTTTTTAATAAAAGTATCTGTTCGTTTCAGTCGTTCATCATTATCATCAAGATAGTAAAATTCAATATAGCTAGGTGTAGAAGTAGTAGTTTGGAATTGAAGCTTATGCACAGTAAGAGGTGCTTTTCGTCTTCGAGTTGATTTCCTTCTTTCCGTTCTACTATCAATTGCTGTAGTCTTGCTCACTTCATTGTTTTTAAACAACTTTGTTTTTCTCCAAAGCATATTTACAATTTCATAATGTTTTCTACTTACTCTGCCTACTTGCCATTTCTTTAATGATACCTTTCTCGGAGGATTTTCAGAGGATAAACTGATTGAAATATTGATATTGCGATTAGTCGTGCTAATATTGAGGAATTCATTAGAGGCTTCACGAATTTCTGAACTGGAAGTTGAAGAGTCAACTGAAATTGTAGTAAGTATTAAAACATATATAACCAAAACAATGACGCCACTATTCATCTTTTAAGAATATATTTATGATAAAACTCGAAATTTTACTGCGTGGATGAATTGTTATAATATTTCTATTATAGCTTTGGGTATGGATATCATTTTGGGATTCTCAAACAAATGGAAATGACATAAGTCGTGTTATGACATGGTTATGACTTACGAAATACTTACGACATAGAAGAATACAAAGTTCGCAAAATATTACTAGCACGCTAGCACCATGCTATTGTAGAACTTGCACCCACGCATGCAACAAGCTTTGGTGCTGTGCATAAACTTAAGATATTGGTGCATTTTAATACTGACATCAAACTTAGTGTAAATCAATTACATAGGAAATATATAAATGAATATCACTAAATTTCCCAAACATAACAAAAGAAAATAATGGACATAAAAGAAAGGACATGGCTCATTTTGAAGAAAGACAGAGAGACTGATCTTATTGGGTAAGGCCCTTCTCTAATCGGTTACGGTGAAATTTTCCTCCGCGTGCTCGAAAGAAGATCTTATGAAAAAAAAATCGCACATTTCGGGTCTGCGAATATAATTCACTATATTAAAATTGGAGTAGAGAAACCCATGACAAACCTGTACGCATAGGTACCTACCGATAAGTATGATATTATTACCTACTTCCAGTCGCTTTATGCTGATTATTGTAAGCATCCTTCGTGTTAATGTTTTAGGGCGTAGAAGTCGTGTTACAAATAAAACGAGAAATAAACAACTTAACACCGATATAAGAAATAGACTAGTAAACAAACTCTTTAGCATACAATGACCTTGTTACACACTAAAACTCATTTTTTCTATATGTCAGTGGAACTTCACTAAAATGTCAAAATAAAAAATGCTTACAACGTTGTTGTTTTGAAATTTGAATTTCTTTATTGTGTTTCAGGACAGTTTGTTGAAAATTCTTTGTAAGCTGCTATTTAGAAGATATTTTATTCCAAAAGTTTTCCAAAAGGTGAGTGATCACTGTGCTAATAAACAGTGCAATGAAAACCATACTAGGCTCAGAATCATAATTTATTCGCGACTACCAATACATTTCATAATCCATAGCAGTATGCTTTGTTTTTGAGGATGGTCAGAGCCAATTTCTCGCTCCCTACATAATTTGTGCTATTATTAAGGACGTTTGGTCAAATGAAGTTCTGGAAGTAGCCAATAAGACTTCTTCTCTGAGATCTTAATATAATCATTATCTGGGTATTTATAGAACTCGCGGTCGAAAACATCGACCTTTTCGCCGTCTGCGCCGCGCCTTGAGTGCCGTTGAGCTCCTAGTAGGGGAGACCGTATAAAATCGACCTTCACCGATCTGATAACTCGATGAGACATATTTCATATCAAATATAATTTTAAAACAAATATGCCTATGATGACTTGCCTATCGAAAAGTGTTCATAGCTATTTTTAATTATATAATATATTTTTTATAAGTCATATTTGATATGAAATATGTCTCATCGAGTTATCAGATCGGTGAAGGTCGACCTCCCACCGGCTATTAGACTATTCTCATACAGATGAGATTCACACCTTCATCTACGTAAAACAGAAAAAGCCTTGAGTCTGTATAAAAGCTAGCGAATAGGTCATATATTCCCGACGTATATCCACCGTCGACAAAAGGTATAAAGATTGTACCAGATTGTGCCTACATCAACGTGAAAAAAATCCTATCAGTTCATTGAGAAACGGCAGATATCTTTTAGGGTTAGGATACATTGACCGATCCGAAATATTTTAATTTAGTTCATTTTTTTTGTTATACTCGAAGAATATAGTATTCAGTTTCAGAAAATTACTGTACAAAACATTAAGAAAACCGTTCACGAATGTTTTTGTGCAAATAACTAGGTGATCTATATACATAAAACTCAAAGGTGACTGACTGACATAGTGATCTATCAACGCACATCCCAAACCACTGGACGGATCGGGCTGAAATTTGGCATGCAGGTAGATGATACTCGTATGACGTAGGCATCTGCTAAGAAAGGATTTTGATCAATTCTACCCCCAAGGAGATAAAATAAGGAATGAATTTTTGTATGAAACTTTGTCAATTTTAAACCGATCGGGCTGAGACTTTGCATGCAGGTATAAGAAGAATCATAGATGAATGTCATTGAGTATAATACAAGCCTGAGAACATAAACTGTAGTCTACAATTCAGCTCTACACCGAAGCGAAGCGAGGGCGGGCCGCTAGTTATTAATAAATACTTACCAAGTTACAGTTATTTGAATTAGATTTGCATATACATAACAAGATTGAGAAAAAAAGGCTATAAATGAAAACTTGCTGTAATAAAAATACTACACACGGTGCTGCTCGCCAGTTCTGTGAGCCTGAACTTAGCTTGAAATGCTATCGCGTGTATTGATATTTTATGCTCTAAAAGAAATTTCGAATATTTCATGAAATCGCATTGTTACATTAATCCGATTAAAGGTAAACGGATTCTGTTCTAAGGATTCACATATAATTCTGGAATTCGTATTTGATATATTTTTTTTAATTGTAAATTTAATATAAGTAATAAAACGTTGTTTATTTCAGAAACACAGAAATCATAATGAATTCCGTACCGGTTGCGTTGAACAAGGCTGCCATGCGTAAATACGAAGATCTTGAAGTACCTTGCGATGCAATCCTCGCGAGTTACGTATGGGTAGACGGCAGCGGAATAAATGTCAGATCGAAAGACAGAACGTTTGATTTCATACCAAAATCTCACAAAGGTAATAATTTAATTCAAGGGACCAAGGCCCCTAATGGGTTCCATGTGTAACTTGACATAATCTATTAATATCGAGGTAATCCTCCAGCTCTCCCTGATCAAACAGAATGGTGACTAATAGATACACTTTATGGTTTAAGATATCCTGTGCTAGTTTTGTCGAAAATATAAGGGCATTCGAATTTGATAATTCTTGACTTTTCCTCACGTCATTGACGTCGAGATTATACCAAAAATTACTAAAATGATCATTAATTTCTATAAAAGTGGAGTTGTGTGTAGAGGACCTGAGCGAAGCTGAGTGGAGCCGTGTTTTACCATTGAAGCTATGCGAAGATTAGCCGTGAAGAGCCAAACTGTGAAGCTGGTTAAAGTTGAGCCAAGCGGAGCTGTGTGAAGTGGAGATGAGCGGAACTTGTCAGAAGGAAGATTACCCTAAAGGAGCTCTGAATACATTTTATTTGCAATCACTTTAACAATTAAATAAAGCAATGTGGCCGCTCAACAAAAAGAAAAATGCGCTTCGCCCTGCTCGTCCCTGCATACCTCACTCAGCTACACTGAGCTCAATTCCGCCTAGCGCCGTGCCGTTGTTATTTGAAAATCAGAATTTTCAGCCCCGGCCTCCCCTAAATTACAAAAAGTTCAGTTAGTAAGTTGGTAATATTTTCAACAAACAGCCACTTTACAGAAATTTAAAACGTTTGAAACTTGCAAAGTTTAAAACAGAATGAGTTAATTCAAAATACTTTACCGTAACACGTTTACGGTGAATTAATTTTGCTGTTATAATTTATTTTGTTAAAGTACTAAAACTTTTTCAAGTAACCTTCCTTTTGAGTGGGGTCTCCAAAAATCGGAGGTAAACGAACGAGCTGTGCTTTCATAGCGAATATTCAGTACCTATTGTTTCAGTTTATTAAAAGCCTGATAAGACACGCGCTCTTCATTTGAAATTTGAAAAAATAATACAAGCAGTACCTGTTATTTTATTGTCTCCTGGCAGGTGGAGTTTTTTTCCCAAGGCAGACGCTTCTTTACTTGCTTTGTATTTGAAATAGTTATACATGTTTATGTTAATTATTATAGACGGGCAATATCTTAAACTGTAGTCTTCAATAATAGTCCAGGCAACGAAAAGGTATAGAGGGAAATGCTTAGAACACAATTTTTGACTTCGTAACTTTGTTAGAACTAGCTAGTTAGGAGGTAAACATATCAAAAGTCCCCGCCCTTAAGCCGGGGGGAAGGGGTGGGGGGGGGGGGGGGTTGAAGGTCCCATTTTTAGGTTTTTCGCATATATCTCGAAAACTATGCATCCTAGCGACATGAGACTTTGACAAAAGTGAAAGCTGATTAAATTTGCTACAAGTTTTATTCAATCAAGTTTTTTGATATCTTGTATAGTTTTCGAGATATCCGCTCTTAAGTCTGTAATTATGGAAAAAAAAATTTGCTTCACATTTTTACTCTATTTGACCGGATAACTCTTCAACAATGCCGGCCGTAGGGTTGTTGGTTCCACCAGTGAGCAGCATGCAGATTTCGGACAAGCCCGCCAAAACAAGGATGGAGCTGACATTGCCAAGCTCACCGATTGGTTTGAGAAATTTCCTCCCTTCCCAGAGACCAGAGACATTATCAAGTCACCAGAAATCCAGAAAGCCCGCTCAAGTACAAAAGGCAGGTGACACACCTGCATCTTAAGGTGGTATGGAGCTCCAGCGAAAGAGATTTCCCTCAATGCCTACAGGTACAAGTCATTCTTGAAATCAGTGGCCACCATCACGCCTGATATCTTTTGTCTTCCTCCCACCGAGGGAGTAGTAAAATAGCATTCCCAGGAAGTGGTGGAATTTTTTTTCCATAATTACAGACTTTCAAGAGCGGATATCTCGAAAACTATACAAGATATCAAGAAACTTGACTGAATAAGACTTGTAGCAAATTTAATCAGCTTTCACTTTTGTCACAGTCTCATGTCGCTAAGATGCATAGTTTTCGAGATATATGCGAAAAACCTAAAAATGGGACCTTCAATCCCCCCCTTCCCCCCGGCTTAAGGGGCACGGGCGGGGACTTTTGATATGTTTACCTCCTAACTAGTCCTAACAAAGTTACGAAGTCAAAAATTGTGTTCCAAGCAATTTCCCTCTATACCTGTTTTTGAGCATTCGTTGCCTGGACTATAAGGCAGATATAATTATAATTGATACTCCTCTAGACGGGCTCGCGATTTGAGCGAGAAATTAACCGTGGTCTTAGACTGCCATGGTTAGGTTTTACAGAAGATAATTAGCTTCATTTAATGACCGCCACCGTATTTCATAAACATAAGGTATCTTATGTTTATAACTTATGAATGATTTTGTTTATTACCCAAATAATAATTTTGCCATTAAACAATTTTATAGCCTAGTTATATATCTGAGTCTGATGTACAATAACAAATATCGATAGAAACGTCATGCCGATTCATAAACAGAGCAATAAAATTCTTTTCTTTACAGATATAAAAATATACCTATGAACTAATAAAATATTTTTAACGGTTGTTTGAAAGTTAAACCAGTCGTATAGAGGATAGATATTGTATATAGATGTCTGTCATAGAACGATGTTAAATTAAATATTTGAATAAATTGTTGAAACAAAATATCGCACACATCGAAGAGAGCTACAACAAACAAAATGATAAGGTGAACGCACACAGTAGTGAAGAAGCGAGCAACCGTATTCCGCGTGTCCAACGAGGCAATTTTCCATCCTCGCTCATGGTATGGTGGGGAGTTTCTTATTGAGGCTTAACAGAGGTACATTTTTGTGAGTAAGGTGTAAAACCGAATGCAGTTGTGTATCAAAATACAGTCCTGACGAACCTTGTGGAACCTGTTTCTCATACCATGTTCAATAACAGGTACTGGGTATTCCAACAAGATTCGGCGCCAGCTCATAGAGCGAAGAGCACACAAGACTGGCTGGCGGCGCGTGAAATCTACTTCATCCGGCACGCCCTCTGGCCCTCCTCCAGTCCAGATTTGAGTCCGTTAGATTACAAGATATGGCAACACTTGGAGGAAAAGGCGTGCTCAAAGCCTCATCCCAATTTGGAGTCACTCAAGACATCCTTGATTAAGGCAACCGACGATATTGACATGGACCTCGTTTGTGCTGCGATAGACGACTGGCCGGGCAGATTGAAGGCCTGTATTCAAAATCACGGAGTTGATTTTGAATAAACTTTATTCACATAAGAATCTATGTTTTGTTAAGTTCATTTTGGTATGTAAATGGTTACATAATGAATAAACTTGTTTCAATTATTTTATACTAAACATGTGACAGAATTTATGACCTGACTAGGTAATACAGCGTCACTCAAAAAGTATGTTGCATCCTTTTGGAGAAATATTGTAAGAACAAAGTTCCTTTTCGGACGGTGTGGCAGATGGGGGCTAAGCGTTTTTTTTTAAGATTTTCTGTCGCACCTAACAACCCGACGCAGCCACCGCGTCTGTGGTGACCCAGTGCAGCCCAGTGCAAATTGGGTTGGTAGTATACTTTTTTTGATGGCATGACTCGCCACGCGAGTCCAGTTTGGATTGGTGGGTGATATATATATATATATATATATATATACAGGGTGAAATTGAATGTTTTAATGAAACTTCGTGGGATTATTGGGTTACGTATATAGAGTATCTCTGAATTTTTTCGGATTTTTTAAAAATGATTTAAAATAAAATTTCGTTTTTTTTTGTTATATTTTAATCTCCTTTTGGGTACTAAATAATTATTCTTTTTAAACACGCATACAGAGTAAGTAAAAAACAACTAATTAGCACTACTAAAAAAACGTAAAAACAGAAGACGAGCGGTCGGGAGCAATGACCGCTCCCGCCGTTGAATCGGTTGAATACCTACCTATGCGCGGTGCAAAGCGCAGTGAGCGAGCGCAGTGTCAAGTTTATCCACCGCGCGTGCGTATCTTTTAAATTTGTGACAAGAGAAGATTTGCAAATAATGGCATGATTAGTTCTTGTTCTGTGGCCTCAATATAAGAAATTGGATATGGTGTGTTGTTATTGTAGTGTCACGGAATACTCAGCAGAGCCACAAGGCTTTACGAAAGTAGGTTTGGTGATTGATTGTGTTTACAAAGTGTATACGGGAAGTTTAAGTGAAAAAAATGAATAGGTACATCGGTATCGTAAGTGCTTTTGAATACCGGGTTATAAATTTCACCCAAATATTGAACTGCAATAAGTACCTATTTCTTTTTGTTTAACATTTGCCTATTTCTAATTGTGACAAAATTATTATTAACTTTTAAAGTTTTTCTCTGCTTAAGAGAAGATGACATTTGTGCTTATTATTTCAATAAAGGCATCTAAGACGACTTTATTGTATTGTGTGGAATCAAAGGAGTCAACTGAACTCTGTGTAGAGGTACCTACTCACTCAACGGCTGGCGGGCGCGGTCGGTCGTTGACCCGCCGTGGAATTTTAATGTTTTTCCATTTTTTAGAAGTACTTATTTATTAGTTATTTTTCACTGGATATGTAAGTTTGTTTGTTTAAAATGAATAACTACTCAAAAGGAGGAAAGGATATAAAAATACACAAATTATAAATAAAAACATGAAAAAAAATACTTCAAAAAAATCCGAAAAAAACAGGCATACTCTATACACATAACCCAACAATCTCACGAAGTTTCATAGAAACATTCAATTTCACCTTATATATATTTAACATTGTTTCTTATTGGTTCTGTACTTACTTACTACGATAGATTGTTTCCTACAAACTTTATTTATTTATGATACCAGATGGGTAAACTTTATTTTAATACAATAAAATATAGCCTATGTTACTCAGGGATAACGTAGCATTCTAAAGGCGAAAGAAGTTTCGCATCGCCGACTAAATTCTGCACCGAAAAGACAAATACAAAAAGCTGAAATGTTATTAAGTTGGTGGCAGAAAACCTAGAAACTA